ACCTGTCCTTCCAATCGGACGGTCCAGTTCCAAAAGTGCGTAACAGAATGTGCATTTGGAAATCGTTCGGGCGGAGGGATATCCAAATCTCGAGCATCCTAATCTGTTTTGAAAATCTTGCAGGTGGCAGTCGTCCGCTCTAGACGCACTTTTGGAGGCGAGCCAAGACTTTACCGTGGGCCTCTTTGGGGACGCCATCTTCTGCGTTGCGCACGGCAAGCGCAGGACCCTCCAGGCGAAGGACTTGGACCTAGCGCGCCGGATCCGCGTGATCCGCGACGACGACAACAACAGAATGCCTTTGCAGAGGGAGGTGGAGCACGGGCGCTCCTACGACAAGAGGGAGTACTACCCTGATCTGCCTGCTGGCGCGGAAAGGTGGAAGCCGCCGAAGCAGATCGAGCGGGAGGAGAGAGAGGCAAGGGAACGGGAGCGCGCTGCCGCTCAAGAGGCAGCGCAAGGCGGGGCTGAAACGTTCAAGGCGGCAGAAGAGAGAGGGAAGCAAGCGGGGGAAGCAAGGCAAATAGGTGGTGGCATCTCGGGCAAGGGGCAAATATGGCGCGGGGCAAGGGGAATCCGAGTAGATTAGGTGCACGAGTGGGGTCTACAAAAGGGGCGGGGCCCGCTAAGGCGGAAGATGTGGTGACGGGTGGCCGGGGCCTAGGTGGCGACACTCACGAGAAAGAAACTGGTGGTGCTGGGGGAGTTAGTGGTGCGTCTGCTTTGTTTGTTTCGATTGAGTATTAGTTTGTTAAACTGCTGGTTTCGAAAAGAACGATCTTGTCCCGATCTTGTCATACACGTTTTTGTATTGTGTTGTGCATGGGCAGACTTTCTTTGTCGGCACATTTGCAGTAGGATCATAAAAGACCCGGCAAGCAAGACAGGCAACTGCATTAAATACTTAAACAATATTGATATTATTGACGCATCTAACGGCATCCTTTCGTTTCATTCATGTGCTTTATCTCGAACAGAACTCCTTCTCCGAGTCGCGCTGCTTATGCCATATCCAAATGTAGCAATGAGTAATGCCGCGAGCATCATATACATAAAACGATTCTGTTTGGTAACTTTGTAGATTCTGCGCCTCCCCCCGAGTTCTTCAATGTCAAGATCGACGTCTCCGCGACGCTAGCCGCTAATGCAGCGGATCTGGACGGCAGCTCAGTATACAGCCAGCTGTACAGCGCGTGGCGGCGGGCGTGGCAGGGAGAGCTAACCCCGGATGGCCGAGTGGCCATCGGCGTTATGGTTGACTTTTTGGAAGGCCCGCGGCGAAAGGCCATCCGCTCAGGTACCTTTCAACGTATGCCCATTGGATGCAAGTGTCTGAAACGTTGGAAGATGGCGTTCTACCGGTCCAAGCATCAGCCAACACTCAAAGTCTTTAACATGTTGTAAAAGCAATGGCGTGATGGTAGTATTCTGCAGCACCTCGTTCTCCCGAATCGCATGTTTCCAACATGACAAGAATATTGACGTTTCAGGCCCATATTGCGGGTACCCTAGCCAAAGCGGGGCATATCAAATTTCGACTCTTTAGCTCGTTTGTTTGAAATGATGCGTGCGGGTTCACGATTCTGAAATCTGCGTTTACTTCCTTGCCGCAGCTGGAGGTGAGGACGACGGGGACAGGTGGAGGCTTCGGCTAAGAAACATCCACGAGCTGTTCTTGAAGGGGACGGCGAGACGGGGGCAGGGGGTTTTGAACGGGGCGCCAGCGGATTCGAGATGGGGAGCGGGGCAGGAGGGGCGGACTGCGTTCCTCGAAGACGCAATTCTGTACGTCCTCAATGCCCGGATGGAACAAGAGGAGTGGGTCTCCCCACCCTTGCACGTCATCGACTGGAAGACGCAGAGGAAGCAGTGGTCCAATGAGGGGCTCAGTGAAGCGGCGCATCAAGAGATGGAGGTGGAGACGGTGGTAGCCATGCTGAGAAAGCTCCCGGTGTTTGTGTTAGAGGGGTTAGGGCCGTACTATTCGGCAACGCAGCTGAAGTACGCCACCGGCACCAACTCCCACGTTCTAACACTGTACCGCTTCACCCGGGATGCAAAGCGGCTGGGCGGAAGGGACCGGGAGAAAGGGGAGCCGGAGTTTGATGGGTTCGAGCTGAAGGGAGGTCTTCCATTGGCGGGAAAGGCCGACGGGCGCGCGGCCGGACCCCAACCTGCTTCGGGCGATTGGGTACGAAGGTGCGCTCCTAGATGGAGGGCCCGCGGCAGGCGCGGCTTCAAGCTCGAGTGGGGCGATCACGGTGGCCGCAGCTGCTCCGCAGCTAGTCGTCCAGCCTGGGGAGATGTTTATGACCGGCAGAACGCCCGACGAGCTCGCCAAGGTGGTCGTGCGGACGGCACTTTGGAAGGAGCTGCCGTTGGAAGAGACTATGCAAAGGGCGGTGTACCAGTGCGAGGCTACCGGAGGCGCTCATCTGGAGCTCAGGAGAAGCTTCATCCGGATCTTGGCCGACACGCTGAATGGCGCCGACCCACTGGCGGCTGAGCAGAGGGACTCCGAGGAAGGCGGGCGAAACGCAAGCGAGCCGGAGAAAGGAGAAGAGAGCGCAAAAAAGCGGGTCATTGGAGGAGGAGGAGGCGGACGACGGGGAAGGGGACAACGGGGAAAGGTTGGAATCGGACTACGAGTCCGAAGATGACGCCAAGTCGGTGGATTTGGAAGCGGACGACGACGAGATGGTGCCGCGCTTCCTCAACAAAAAGGAGGGCCGGGACACGTACGGTCCCGTGCCAGTGCGGGGGCTGGGAGACATGGGGCGGGGTTTCTGGCAGGACTTCGAGATTCCGGACGAGTTGGTCATGCTCCAGACCAACTACAATCCGGAGCTGGCGGAAAAGTTCCTCGCCCGAAACAACCTCTGGAAGGCCTCCATGGTGTCCCGAATCCTGCCCGTCGTCGTCCAGTTCAACACCCCTGCCGAGGAGGTGTTCTTCGCCGAGGCGGTCATCCGGACGGCCTTCCCTGGCTTGCAGGACCACGGTCGTTCGCTGCACATGCAGGCGTTGCAGGTCGCCAATGGTGCCCCACTAGAGGCGACCGATCACGGCACGAGCGAGCAGCTGGCCCGGATTGCGTGGCGGCGGCGGGAGGAGAGGGACACCTCGGAAACCGACAACGGCTTAATGCTGACAGAGGCTGAACGGGAGTGGAAACGGAAGCGTCTCGAGGACCAGGCCTTGCTGGGGGAGCGCGCGGAGCATGAGATTGCGGCGGCTGCCATCGATTACAAGCCGCGCGGCAGAAGAGGGGGTAGAGTCGTTGTTTAAGTAGATGTTTCATTGGTACACAGTCGGGTTCGAATGTGTTTAGGTTATAGGCGCCTGATGTCCAAAAGTCGCTTAGAGGACGCGGATTTGGAGATGGCGCGGTGAGCTGTAAATGATGTCCTGCAGAACACAATTCTGAGTGTATGTGATTTTTTTGCTTTTAGGGTTTTGTAGACTTGCGTAATGCTTATAAGGATCGTACAAGACAAGATTTGTGCCTTGGCAATGAACCGCCAGTGCTTCGAAGCTGATAACGTGTCCACGAATGCAATATGATAGAAATAAGCTTCCCTTTTCTTTGCACGGCGATGATCAGCGCGTGCTCCATCATCCTGTTCCAAATATGTTTGGTATTTCGATTGAAGAGAACAATATCGGCATTTGTGATCATGGCATAGTTGGCACATTTGTAAACTACGCGTCCCTGGTTATGTATGATGACAATTCTTATAATTAATTGGTAAATATGATGGAAGCATGTGCGGTTGAACCGATTACATGATATCACGAAAAGTCCTCCATCCGTGGTTATGATAATATATATTATTTAGATGTACCGTATGCACGTAGTGCGTAGTAGAGCCTCGGATCGATTGAGGGTGCATCGTAGATTACTTGTATTCAAAATATACGAAGCATACTCCACTCCGAGACAGTGCGGCGCACGCATGCCACAACGTATACGACTTATTGACAGAAGTAACGCGGCCAATTGGTTTAGCTTTTTTCAAACTTAGGATATCAATCCGATCAACGGAGTCAGGTACCGGCTGCTTAATTTGTATCTGATCGGATGTGTGGAACCGCGGAATCACATCATGAAAGTTCTTTGTCCGTACTTATAACAACATTATATTCAGGAATACATATATATGTTAAGTAAATCTATCCTTAAGTAAATGGACTGAGTCTACCTAGATTTCTAGGAGGTGAATTAAGTTGGGGTGCATGAAGGTAATTGAATGAGCTGCTATAGATCAAATGCCATGGAAACTTAGCCTGGTTCAACGATTATCATTCAATCATTCCGATGCCATGATCCGATCCGACTCGAGCAACATCGCAGTGGTATTACAGTAAATTACGTTGGCTGCGCCCACGCGCACGGAAGCGCCGGCTGCCGCGCTGGCACGCCGGTGGGCTTATGCAAAGCATCACCGTTAGTTTCATAGGCATAGCACGATCCCGCAAAGTTGTACGACACTGGCATCAATTGAGTATTTTATTCGCTAATCCGACCGATCGAATCAACAACCCATGTAGCCTATGCACAATTGCGCAGTACTAAGCGCGAATCTCTCAGCCTAGCAAAAGTAAAGCCTCACGATAAAACCGATCAGGCAACCCGACGTGGTTTGCTTACCATACGCACACAACTATCAATGCACGGTACAGCTTACATTGACTCAAACGTTTAAGATTTCAGACGGAGAAATATACATGCACTTCAATAACATATTGAGGGGAGTCAGCGTCCTTATCACTAATGTTGACCTGACCAACCGGGCTGCAAGCGCAAGCCCGCCTACAAGCAAGCCTGTCGTCTGAAGGACTGGAACGCCTTCTTTTACCTTCTGCTCAATAGTGCGAATGCGTGGTGGCCAGATTGGGGCTTAAAAGAGGAATTCATGGCTTAGTCCAGCACCGTCCCACCAGCCAAGGCACACGCTCGCAACAAGGCAACAACTGCAAACACAAACGAGACACCTTCGATTAGTACCAAAAAGATCGGGTAGGCTGAAGGATCGAGTAGGCTAGATCAGGCCTCTCAAGGAAAGCCAGCGGTCCAGTCCTAGCGCCTCAAAGGAGAGGATCACCGGCTGACAAGTACTGTGGCAACTCAATGTTGTTACAGGGTACCTGATCCAAAAGACTCATTAGCGCCGCTGCAATATGCCATTCACAGGGGACTCTTTTAATGCATCGTTACAGGGTACCTGATCCAAAAGACTCATTAGCGCCGCTGCAATATGCCATTCACAGGGGACTCTTTTAACGCATCAGAACCCTTGCAAACACAGCCCAGCGACTGCATTCCGAAGATACACGATCAAAGCAAAAGGAAGGTCGGATGCGAATCGAGGGAGCTGCGAACGTTCTAAAAGGAGCGCCAGAAACTGCTGAATGTTGGGGGCATTTTATGTACTTCTGGCCGAACTTGGGGCCAACCTCTGAGCCCTCACCCAAGGCACAGTCTTCGGTCATGTTCCGGGCCGACCACAACATCCATAAGCGCCAGCACCACGCCGCCTCGCTGCTTCCTGCGCTCCAGAATGACCGCCTGTCTCCGCCGACAAGTCTGGCTCGGCCCCAAACCCCCGGAGGACCACGACGATGTCGTGGTGACGCGCCCGGAGCTGCACTCCTTCCAGAGAGCAAGACACCCAAAGCTTTCCGTCGCTCGGGTCGCCTTCGCTGCCCGGGTGGCGCGCCGTTCGGCACGCAAGTCGAGGCCCGGGAAGGGTGTAGGAGTTTGTGTCGGGCGAAGCCGGAAGCGCGGGCCCCGATTCTCCCTTGGCGGCCCCGAACGTTCTCGATGCTCTGTCTCTAGCTGTCGCCTTGCACCATGCTTCGCCCGGCCCGTCACAATCATTCGGGCGGCCCTCTCCACTACAATATTACGACCCGGAGAACGACGCACGCCTCTGTGGGCGTGCCCGCGGTCGGGACGCCGCGCTCGACGACGCTCGCGAGCAAGCCTCGAGAACGGTAACCAGTCAATTGTCCGGATTCAGGCGGCGAGGGAAGCGCCGGGGACTGTCCGAAAGGGTCCGGTGGGGGGGGGAGGGGAGGAGTCAAATAGCGTAAGCGGGGGGGCGAAGCGATCGTGCCAACATCTGAGGAACGAAGGAGAAGAAGTGTTATTGTTTTGAGGCGCCATCCTCCTATGTTTCTTTACTAATCGATTTGAAATCCGCGAATTGCTTTTACATTAGTTTCGAGAACTAAACAAAGGGTGGTTGAGTCTTGCCACAAGGCGGCGTCACCCGAAGAAGCTCTCAAACGACGTCTGCAGCCTATTGCAGGGAGACTTGACGAATGTCCTCGAATGCAAGAGTGTCGAGAACGGTCTTTGGAACCCGGATACGCACAGCCCGTTACGACATGAAAGCCACCCCTTCGAGTTGCGGCATACGACCGGTTGACAGAAAGACGATGAGATTCAGATGAGGCTGAGTTGCTCCAAGAGAAGGAAACGTACTTGGAGAGCTTACCCTATAAACTGAACAGCAAGGACACAACCTGACAGTAGTCGACAGATATTGCGGCAGCTCCTTTTAATGGGCTCGACAGGAGAATGTTCAAACCGAGAGTGAGCGACACATCGGCAATTAATCTCAGAAGACTCGTCAGCAAACGCTGAACCCGAAGAGTAAGCGACTGACTCGGAAGCTCACCATATAAAACTCGGCAGCAAACGGTCAAACCGGGAGCAGGCAGCGGACCCCGAAGTCACCCATAGCCGGGCTCGACAGCAAACAATTAATTCAAGAGTTGGCGAGGGGCTTAGAGGCTTACCCAGAAGGGCTCGACAATGTCCACTATCATCGGCGCCCTCGCGAGCGCTGCTTAGTCCCCATCCCCAAACGCCTGAACCTCTGTAGCGCGGCGCCGAACGTGGGCACCTATTAAGACACGTCGATGCGTCCAGTCCCTGCGGTGCCAATGGTAGAAGATGCTGCCCTTGGAGTCGAGGCTCTCGGGCGTGCCTTGATGACTCGAGACCTGGGTTTCAAACAGCGAGTATTATGAATAGGTTACAACTGTCCGAAATGGTGAAGAGCTTGGTAGAAACAACACGGAATCAACCCTGAGGCTCGTTAACGACAGCAAAGGGCCCGGTTCTTGCAGCGCGCAATAAGAGATACCAGATTGCCAATATTTTAAATTGGATGTTGCAGACGAGTGTTTGTTGGGGGATATGGCTGGCCAAGCCTGCCAACAGGCAGGAACGGGAGCAAAGAAGGACAGAAGTCCTCGTTGACGATTCTCAAGAGCGGACTGGAACACTAAAACCGCTCACTGTTCTCTCCTACTGTACAAAGTTCTGATGACTGCTACCCAGACCCTCCAAGGAAACAATCCACACTCAGTTTTGTCAAAGCGACAAAGATGGAAGCAAGACACTTGTTGGCGAAGCTGTCACCATTCGACTAGCCTGAGCTGATCACTGACTGGTTATGATGCTTGTCATGCAGAGTTTCAAGAACCCTTCTTGACATCTTTCATGAAGCAATGGTTTCAAAGTGCCTCTGGCTGCTTGCATGAACTTCAAAAAAATACATTGAAGAGATTGCTAGGCCTTCTGAGATAAATTCTGTGCAGCATTCGCCTCTTCCGAAATGACTTTTCTTTAAGAGCAAAGACGGAGGCTGGACCACGAGCGCAACTGCATATTACTTGCCCATGAGATCTATTCTACATTGCAATGAGCAATGAATAAAAAAGGAATCCAAAAAGGGTCCTCTGATCAGAGACAGAGGTCAGCTTCAGTTGTGCCACCCTCCGGTCAACACATTGCCGCTACTTTCAGAACGGAATACTTCGCTACCAAGACAAGTGTAAACCACCTTCACTTGTACTGTACGGAAGTACCCTCCCCAGATAAAGACTATGAAGAGGCGACTAACCTCAATGTGGCTTCCTGGACTGCAGCGCATTGGGCGTGACCACACTCCTCATTTCATGCATGCGCCCTACGATGGTCCTTGGCACCCATGTGTCCACGAGCACGGCGCCCCTTGATGCAGCCTCGCTGCGACAGGAGTGCCTGCGGCCTTGCAAGAAACATGACGCTTTGTTGCAGCAATACGTGACGGTGTTTTTGCACATTGATTCAAGCTTTTGGATATTGACATCAGAAGAATTTTGAGTTTCTTGTGTTCTGGTCTGGACCATGGACACCGACGTATCAAACTAAAAGGGAAGGAGGCTTGTAAAAAGAGAGTTTTGCAGCCTGTCAGAAAGTCAGAGACTCGTTTACCAAACGAAAAGATTGAACAAAGTTTGAAGCTAGTAGCAAACCTTTAAGGTATAACTGCTTGGATATTACCTCAAATCACCATGCCTCATTTCAAATGACCAGGCAATTTGAGGTTTCTCGAGAAAATCAAAGGCAAAAGTGATTGGCTTTTACGTTCTGACTATAAGCACAACTTTGCTGCGGTTCCCTCAGATGCGACGAACCCTACTCAGACCCTAACTCTACAGGCTTCAAGGTCTGCTGGCTCATCCCCTTCCTCGGGTAACCAGCTTGTCAGCGGTAAAGTACCTATGTGTTGACATGCTAAGGGCAGATAACAAGCGGCTTGTTCAATCTTGACTTGCATGTACGCTTTGAATGGTTGCATGCAAGAACTTATAGGAGGTCTTGGGGGTCATATTGCCGAGGCCAGTCTTCTGTTCTTTGAATGCCCACCTTCAAAGTGGCGAAGGGTTCTTTAGATGGCATTCCATCTCCGCAAAGCGCGCTTCCTGGATGGACCTTCTGTCACATCCTGTCCCATGAATGAACACCACATGCCCCAGCGCCAACCAGATATCACGCGTGTGCCACTGCATTGTATACGGCTGCCGCTGTGGACAAGACCGTTGCCCACAAAGAGTGGCCAATCTCTAAGCCCGTAGCGCTTTCAAGAAGAGAGCACTGCCATACCAGGGGGTTCTGCAAGCTAGCAACGCTATGAGAAACTGAGAATGATTGTCCACCCGCGGTTGTTGGCCAGCTCAGGACATGATCATAAGTTTTGACACGAGCATTCCAGAGCACTCTAATTTGGGATTAAACAATATTAGGCGAGTTCCCAGCTCTCACATGTCAAACACTACTTCTACAGTAATACCCTTCTGGCATGAGCTTTGTTTCAAATTTCCCTACCACTTTCAGCTGAAAGAACATCGGTTGATGTAGTGACAGAATTGTCCGCCATTTCTACAGCCACTTTACCAGGCATTTTGCAACGTCACGGTATCGAGTTTGTGAGCTGAGTGCGTGAGTCGCGGCCGCGCGGTGGCCGCGGCGGTCAGCCAGGCCCGGCCGGGGATCCCCCGGTACTGAGCCGGGTGACTAGTAGGGAGTGACTGGGGACGTGAGCCGGGCTTCGAAGGCATGAGCCGTGGATCGGGGCCATGAGCCGACCCTGCGTTGTTCCTGTGGTCGGCTCACAGCTGAGCCGGGAATTTCAGCCGGGCCAGCTTTAACCCTTTAACAGCGGGGTAAAACCCGTCAAGATCGCCGTACTTGATTATTATCGATAATCGCAAAAATCAAATTAACCGTTCGATCGGCGAGACTATTTCGATCGGACGGCGCCGATCGGAAAAGTTGACGGTCCGGCGCGCCGGTCGATGCCGGTTGGAAATTCCGATCTCGAGCTGGCCGAGGCTCCGAGGCTTCGGCCCTGCGAGCTGCCCCACCTCTGCTGTTCCAAGGCCTTTCCGAGCATGCCAAAGAAGGTGCTTTGCAAGTCTGCTTGGCCTAGGCTCCGAAAGGCCTTGTTGCTATTGTTGCTTTGGACATTGTGACCGGTAGGTTTGGAACATTCATAAGAGCAACACACCCAACCATAGGTATCGGCCTGTTGCAATATCATATATGTATGTTGCTCATAGCTTCTGCTGCAGCGCGCCCGCGCGCCGCGTTCGGAGTGTTGCCTTTGTTCAAAACGGGGCCTGTCCTTTGCTTCCAAGGGGTTGCAATGTTGCTTATGTATTTGCAGTCTGGGCATCGTGTCAGAACATGTTTGCAGCGGTGCACTGAACTCCGGTGAAAAAACCGACTTCCAGGGGGGCCGGTTCAGGGCCAGTGAGCATCTAAAACCGGCCTCCGGGGGGGGGGTCTCTTTAGTCGGAATTTCGACCCCTAGTAGTACTATTGTTCAGACCCATCTTTTCCTCCCCCTCACCTTTGTTTCGGCTTGCAGAAAATGCCTAGAAGGTTTTGCGTATTCCAGTAAACCAAGTTAAAACTTCGCTCTGGTCAGGGGGCATTCGAGCCCCAGTCACATGCGTAATAACGGAAAGCTGTCGGGAACGCGATCTGTTTTCATGGACACATGCTCCTTCCTTGGGGTGAATTTTGCGGGATAAACAACACCCAGAACGCGTGGCTCGTCTTGATATGACGTACTCGATCACGTTTCATAACACCTCAAACCAGCTTCCATAACCCCGCCCCCGAAATAGCCTGAGTTAGAGAGGGGAAACGGCGAAACGGCGAAACCGGCTTCCATACCCTTTCGAAGTGATTTCGGTTCAACCCAAAACCGGCTTCCATACCCACCTCGAAACCCCGGAAAATCGGAGTTCAGTGCACCGCTATGAATGTGTTTTGACACGATGCCCTGCGCCAGTCTGCTACATTCTAGGCCCCGTTTCTATTGTTGCCCTTTTTGCCCTTTTGCCAGGGAAAAAGGCAACAAGATAACGTAAGCCCGCACCCGTAGACTCACTCTCGACTGCCCATAGAGTCAAAACCAAGGGCCCCGTTGTCGCTGTGTTGCCTCCAAGTCACCTGCCTGTACCAATGGTGTCGATTGGATGTATATGTTGCCCTGTTGTGCCGATGACTGACACATTGCAACAAGGACTCTTACACAAACCCCCCCCAATCTTTCATGGACGGTCGGCCAAATGACCCGGGCAGAGCCGTAGCCCTAGATCTGGCGGCAACAATACCTCAATGTTGCCCGGTTGGCCCCCCGCAGGCCTGTTGCCTGGGGCAACAACACAGGCAACAGTCTACTGGGGGGTCACGTCCTTAAATAGGCCCGGACCCCCCCGAAATTTTTTGTTGCTTTTTTATATTTTTATTTTGGGCCGTTGACACCCCATGCCCGAAGTGCTAGGGTCATTTGAAGTGATTTGGAGGCCGTTGGACGCGAATATATCCATGTTGTTGCGAAAGGCAACAAAAGGCAACACCCGCTGTTAAAGGGTTAAAAAGCCGGGGTACCTGGTCGGCTCATACCCCCGCTGAAAGCCAAATCTTCCTGTGATAACGGCTAAAATGTGATTGGATTTCCACACGCTAAGCGCCAAGAGCGACACTGTAATCATCCACAATTCATATCTGATCAAACCTACGGAGAACGTGCGCGTCTTGTTCGCAAACATAGAATTGATGTGTGAGATGTGTGAGATGATATATGCACGGATGACACGGAGACATTAAGAAGCTTGGACGACCCAGTGACCGCGCGCGCGTTCGAGTTTACTGTCTCCAATTCAGTTTTCGAGAATTGCGCGTCTGCTCGAGTCGGGTATCGCCACCAAACGTTCCAGTCTCGATGAATAATCGCTCTTGAGTTCCTCGGCAGAGTCCCGGCGCGCTCTATACTGAAGGTGACCCAGTTCTGTATCATGATCGATACCGATTGTCCAGAGCGACGTACTTCCAAGTTCGTGATTAAAAAACACGCTACTTTTCCTTCGGAATAAACTATTGCACAATGAGAAAATCCTCCTTATCGACACCGAGCGGAAGGAACTTGAACGCCTTCGTTCATCCGACGACGCCGGCCGCAAGGGTCGAATCGTCTTCAATCATAAAGTCGATCAAAATCAAAGCTGAGAGTGCTTACGAACTGTATGAGACTCCGTTTTACAAACTTGCGGTCAGTCAGAAATCTAACGAGGCGCGCATGCGCTGCGCGTCACGGTGCAGCCTGCACTTGTTTTGGCGACGTTAAAACCTCGCGGATCGTCTGGTCCCCTTCGAGTTGGAGCCCAGGTATAGGACCCCATTGAAGCGGCGTCTCATTCGCCCCTTTCCCGTGCCGCCGACTCCACCCGCTTATCCAGGCCGACGACGCCCGGCACACCGCTCACCCGGGCCAGCAACACCAGCCCCTTCGCCCAGCGCCCCCTGCGCCTCGCGTCTCACCGACTTCCTCCACCGGATCGGCCGCAGCCGCACCGGCAGGTCGGTGCCCGGAGGGAGGGGCACGTGCTTTGCATTCGTGACCTCGCCATCTAGTTCCTCGAGTTCCCCGGCTGTGTAAAACTGCTACTCTGTGATTTGAGGGATGATCAGGTCTTGCTCTCGCACAGTGTCGAGCTGCAGCCGTTTCGGGGCAGTCGGTTGAGGAGCCCCGTCTGGGGGAGGGGCCGCCTCGGCGCGAGGAGGTAGGGTGTGGAGCCGTTTTGCCGGGGGCAAATCGTCTGCAAGCCGACGGAAGTACTTGTTAGGAGCCGTATGGTGCGGTGCGTCAGTCAAGAGCTGTTTTGAAAAGTTGATGCTTGGTCGACTGGCTTTTCAAAGGAAGTGCATTTGAAACCTCTGCTATGGACCTGGACGACCTAAGTGGATAGGATATGACTAGAGGTTCCACTCCTGCCGGCTGCGGCCTGAAGGGAACCGCGACCACTTTTCCAAAATAAGGTCACTTGGAAGGTTTCTCACTCCCCCACTTTATTTTCACCAAAGAAAGCGGCAGACTACCTCTTGAACAGAGGGAACGATCACTCTTCTGCGGAAAGCGAAAGTACTGGCTTTCGTGAGTTACAGCTTTTGCCTCTGATAGGCTGGTTGATTACAACCGGTGTTACATGTACGGCATCTTTGCTGATACTCAAATTTCAAGTGTCCAATAAAAGCGCATGCAGTCTGGGGTGAAAAGGCGCAGCCAAAGTGCAAAGTGGCCCGCGCACCTGTGACAAAGTAAGTGGGCTTCCATTTTCAGGGATGTCAATAGTCAATAATACCAGTGGCCAATAAGGTCCTTTTCGTCCCAAAAAGTAGCAATGGCTAGCGGGCATTGAGCTTTACCCGTTCTTGCTCGGGCCGTCAGTGTATTGCGGCCATCACAGAGTCCTTCCAAACCCTCTTTCGTCTTCAATTTCCGCTTTCCTCCTATTCGCTCCGAAGAGCTTAATCGTACTTGAACCCTTCTCGGCAGAGAGAGGAGCTCTTTGGTGTACCGCCCTCGGAAGGTGCAGTCGTCTGCAGACTACAATTCCGAGTCCCTTAATTTTGCTTCCGTGGGCCACTCGTGGTTATCCGGAAGACTCGGCCGGCCGCTGGCACCTTTCCCGTCACCACGGGCGCCGACAGACTCCGCTGAATTAGAAGTTTCGGGGGATGCTTCTTGGTCTACATTTTGAAGGGGGAGCGTCTGTTGGTCCCTTTGACCCCGTCCTTTGGGGTAAGAAATGTTGCATTGCAAGAGGAGAAGGTGTCGCTCGAAGACGGGGAGGAGAGGCTGGTGTCAGACTGGCAGCTGCAGCGGCTGTCCGAGCACCGGGTCAGACTGAGGCCCGCGGAAGATTGACCGCTGCAGAGAGGGAGACAAGAACTTGGAGACATTGAGAACTAGTCCGTCAGTCCGCCAGATTATCAAGCCTGCCACTGAGTAGGCGTAACGTCTGCTAAAAAGCTAGGCCAACGGAGGGGTGTAGAAGTATCTCATGAAAGTCAGTTCGGATCGATGACTTCGACTTGGTCCTTCTTGAAAGTTGGTCGTTTTTGGCTTGATTCGCATGCCGACTTCGCTTGGTGGCCGCGCACGGCTGGAACTCAAAAAGCGATGGATGCTACTAATGGAGGTTTTATCGGACAAAGGATGTAATGTCGCGAACCAAAAGGCATATTCTCAGCGGGAACGTGCCAGTGGTCAGGCTGAAGGCAAAAGGAAGGGAAGCACTGCCAGTGGAGATAGACAAGCGATCGGTCCAAGCGGTATTTTGGATCTCATGTATTATTTCGCAAAACAGTCCTGAATCTTGAATTTCTGAGAGAAAGCCGCTCTTGAGGCATGATCTCCACCGTCTGGCAGACCAATTGGGCTTGATCCGGCCAGAAGTATAGCTGCCCAGACAAAGAGAAATTCACGTCCTGCAGACTGCTCTTCTCTTTCCGAAATTTCCTGGTCAAAACGCGCACAATTAATGTTTCCCCAACGCCGGGATTGGAGGCCTTACCTCCTGGGGATGGCCCTGCTCATACTCGGCTCCCTCCTTTGGTAACCTCTGAACCAGTCGCTCGCTCGCTGCATCAGCTCACCGTTCACCACAAAATCTGACCTCCGATCCCCGCCAGAAGGCGGCTTCATCCTCGCATCAGGCTCATCCAAATCAAATATCTTTTTGGGAGACGTTTGCCTTGAACCGAGTCCCGCATTCCCTGCTGAACAGCCCCTTCCCCTCAGGTTCGGTCTGGGCTCCACTCCGCCCTCCAGCCTTGCTCCACTGCCGCTCGCCAAGTTTCCGTCCCCGCGCTTCGCTACCTCTGAATCCCAAGCGCATTTGGCGCGTGCCATGTCAACGCCCCCGGCCCTTATGGTCCTCACGTTGTAGCGGCAGGCAGCGGTCGAGTGGCCCGCCCTGCCATAGATGGTACAAAAGCTTCCTGCAGGCGCCCCTTGCCGTAAACTATCTCTACAGCCGGTAAAGCGCTTACAACCATGGGGCCTGGCCCGGTCGTTGTATGCGACCGTCTGGAAGCTCGTGGGAAGCTCCCGGAGGCCTCCCCCGGGCGCATTGTGCATCCGCACCCACCTGACCAGTATTTGCTCCCCGTGCAAAACAAGGCCCGCCCTGTAGGCGTGGACTGCTTCTTGAGCTGCGCGCACGTCCGCAAATGTTACAAATGCATAGTTTCTTTTCATCTGGACGCAGCGCAGGGGCCCAAAGGTCTGGAAGGCACGCCGCAGGTGAATCTCGCTCACACCAGCAAAAACGAAGTTACCCACATAGAGAGTCGCCATTACGTCGGGCTCGTCAATACTGCACACGCTAACTAGTGAAGCAACGGAACAAAAATGTGCTGAAATGATGTGACGTCTATTCTTGCCTCTGTGCTTCTAGAAGAAGCTTGGCTTGTGAAAGGCGTGCCGTCACCTATGACAGGGTCCGATATGGCTTCTTAGCAGCAGCTTTGATCCACAAGGAACTGGCGTGCAATTTGCGAAGTAGATGCCCCACTGCCCTGCGTTTATGCTGGAAGACCGTCAAGTTGGAATGACTGGGTTCGTTCTGAATGAAAGTGCCTGCTTCAGGACGCTACTAATTATGCAAAGACGTCACTTTGTCGTGAAAGCTGGGAACTATTGCCTTCGGGAGAGTGCTTCACTGGTCTGCTCGAACGGTATACCGCACACAATCTGCTGTCTTCTGACGCTTGCAGCTTGTTCAGGGTCGAAGGTGGCTGATCGAAAAGCGCTCGACATAGAGGAAAGGAACATGCACGTTTGTTTGAAGCGAGGAACGCGCGCTATTTGACAAGACCAGCTCACCTGTAAGTACGTGACCAGCAAATCTGATGATGTGCGACTACCCGCTTAACTTGTACCACGTTACATGCAAGGAATAAGCCCACAAAAGGGATGACAAGACCTTATCCAGCAACAAGTAGAAAAAGCCGGAGTCAAGGTCGTCTCGTCAACTTGAAGGTGATGTGGCAATAATCATATTTTGCCGCACAGCGCCCGACTCGCTGCGCTGCTACTACTATAGGCTTAAATGTCCACACTTTGATGTGACTCGTATACACAACTAACCGTTCAATGCCGGCCGGGGACGATCAGCCTGCTGGAGACTAAGCTACCCACTCATTTTTCGCTGCACTATGGTTGTATTTGCGACTGGATGCTAGAATGTCAACGCCGTTCTCTCCGGAACTTGGATTCTTGCCCGGACCTCCCGAAACCCGTACAAGAGCCCTCTGAGTCCCGAGTCATCCAGACCCTTGAAAACCTTATTCGCCCTCCAAAACTGCGGTTTATAGCAGGTGTACGCCCGGCAGCGCCGCCTGGAAGGCCAGCTAGCTGCCGGCAACGTGCATTAGATTCCGTTGACAACACCATCCTCATGTCAGTGCAGGGGTCAAATTATTTGATCATAGGCGCAGAATCTAGGCACCGCAGCTCCCCGGCCTTCCTATTTGACATGCAATTGTGAAGCCGGGAAGGCGGATTGTCTGCAAATTGTCTAACGAGGCTAACCGGATGATAGGACCATTGATACCTGTACAGGCTGGAGCTCATCATGGAAAGCCCGTGCAAGTAGAGCTCTCAGATTCGACAATTATTTCTGCTTCCAATTGGGGCATCGTTAAATCCAGGTCCGGGACGCCTGGTTTCAATGCTTACAGGATATTGCATATCCTCTTGCATATTGTCGCCTTGTGCTAGTACCTTTCGGAAAGAGCCTGCTTACCGTAATATCTGGGTCGGCTGGGTTCCGAATTAAGCTTTTATACACTCTGTGTTCGGGCTGCTTTGAAGCTAGCGGTTCCTGGCAATGACGACAAGTCTTTCTTCTTTCTTCCGTGTCGACTTCTTTCTATGTCGTGAAAGAACAGGGATGCCGTCACATCTCTATAGAAAGCGCGCTCTACAGCCGCTGCTCTAAAACGAGCGGTAAGCGGACCTGGAATCCTTCCGAAGGAGAGGGGCATGATGCCTTCAAACTTGCCAGTCCGTGCACAGCTTCGACGCGTCAACAGGCAAACATGGTACAAGTTTGAATGATTGCATTACTGAAACAAACAGAGATCGTCACCGGCTTGTCGGAAACCAAAGCCGCGGATATGTGTGAACGATCGCCTAGGCCGCTCCCCAGCCTGTATATCTCCCTGCAGTATCTTAGTGGAAACGCAGCCGGTTGAAGTACTGTGCGCACTGCGTGCGCTCCGCGTGCCAGGCGCTTCATGTAGACGAGAGAGACGTACTGTTGTTTGTCGGTGAACGTTTGAAAGGTTCTGGGTTTGCGGTACGTTCAGATGGTTCAGGAAGTCCGACGTAGCTTTTAAAGAGGTTGAGCTTGGAAACAAAAGACTTATGAATGTTGCAATTATAATCACCCACCTCGTGCCTTCGCTGCTTCTGTCTCCCAATAGAGACCGGAACGGACTTTTTCCTTTCTTCAGGTCATTATTCAAGTGGCGTTTTGGAGATGTTAGGTTCGATTTCATTACCTTTGAAATGTGAGACTCGTTGGCAGCTTTTGCCCTGATTTTGTAGTGACTGGAAAGCCTGAAGAAAAACTTTACTCGGTCGGACGGACCAAACGTCAAGTCTTCAGAGTTGTGGCTCGACTCGCAACTTTCTTTTCCCGTCCGTCGCAGCAAGTTCTTCGGGTTTAATTTGGATACTCCGTTGAACCATCTAAATACAACCCGTCAGACAGCGAAGTTGGTTACCTGTTTCCGTGGATTTACTGACGATGCCAGTGCACCCCGGCGATGCGGACCGACACCTTTCCGTGTGCCAATTAGTCGGCCCCTGCTCCAGTAGCAGACATGGGTCTTCAACCCACCCCCCGGAAGAAACTGCAGTTTTTCGAAGGGTGTGCGCGAGCAGGACTTGGTCATCCCTCGCATGCATCAAGTTTTGGCGGCTTCAGGCCCTATTCTCATTAGCGGCGGACGGCACAACAATTTTTAATCTAAATCTTCTGATTGGCTCCGGCGAATGTGGAAAACTTCTACCGCGCTTCCACTAGCAGTTGTGCCGGCGGAACTCGATAAAAAAATGCTTACGTCAGCGGCACAAAAATATTAAAAGTTCGACCCTTGTGCCCCCTCGGGTCGAACTCCTATTTTTCTGTGCCGGGCAACCACGTGGTTGAACTGGCCACTCACAGCCCGAGGTGCTAGATTCTGGCGCGCCAGGGCTGCAAGTTGCAACGTAGTGATGACTGTGCACAGGAGGCAAGCACAGCAGCTGTAGGATAGCCTGTAGGGTACCTAGCTGGTCTTTTGCCTGCTCGGGGTTTAGGGTTTTGCATGCCAGCGTGGCAATTCCCGATTTTGTACCAGGACTTGTGCCGTGGTGTGATTTCACTTGCGGCCGGCACAACTTCACGCTTTTCGCTTTTTTGGGCACTTCCGGGCAAGTTCCGGGCAAAAAAGGATTTATTAATTGTTGTGCCGTCCGCCGTCAATGAGAACAGAGCCTCATATTGCAGAACAAACCGAGGAAGGAGAAGGCGACGTCACGAGCGCAAAGTCCGTGCCCCTTTCCCCGGACCCCAACCTGCCGGCGCGGCTGCGGCCGATCCGGTGGCGGCGCATCCGGCGAGACGCGAGTTGCATTAATAGAAGAAGGGACTGGGGTTGCCGGCCCGGGTGAGAGCTGTGCCGAACATCTCTGGTCCGAATATGCAGCTGGTAGGGTCGGCGTTCGGGCAAGGGGCGGAAGACGGTTGGTCTCCGACTTTGGGCTGATGCCTCGAAAAGGATTGGTCTGCGAGAAGTTGCTGAGGCGTCCGCGGTGGGCACAACTTGAAGCGCCAACAACGGCCGGGCGCGATATATTCAATCATCCCATAAAAGAAAAAGGTTGCGCAGACAAGATTGCAGACTTTCGAAGCTAGCTGGGAGTTTGCAACAGATGTCTTGAAGATGTGTACATCATGGCTACTGACAGTCCTTATCTTCTCGATCGAGGACACCATGCTGGCCTTCATGGACCCGCTATTTTGGGCACGTCGAGGAATCATGACATGTAAGTGCCTCAGGATTTAGTTGATCCGTTCCGACGTTACTTCAAGTTCGTCGAGGCTCGCTTTTGATGTCTTCGTTATTGGCCTTGCGACTTAGAGATTGACCAAACTGCTGACCTTGTTTATTACAATCCATTTGCTTCAGATTCTGAGAAGCAGTGGCCTAGATCCCTTCCGAACTTCGGTTTGCTGATGAAGAGCCAGCAGGCAATGGCTCCGTCATCTGATTAGATTTGGTTTCCACATCAAGAAAAGACATTGCCTATTATCATGAAGCAGATCCGCTTTACTGTCGACTCCGTATCAGTCCTGACGCCCTAACTCTACACACCCCTATCTCTTTTAACCAAGATTCATAAGTCCGCGTCTTCTGGCGCATGCTTTGAAATCAGAGAGACTCAGTAAGGAACCGTCGTGGTGTCCACTGGCATCGATCGCTTGTTCAGAGAATTCCACGCCGGCAAAGCGTTTGTGAGATCTTGAGCTGGCTTGACTTGATATCGTGATAGCAGCAGCACGCGGCGGCATGGTTCGGCTGACTCGGAGCTCCGAAGTTGATTAATTGCTCTTTACACAAACATCTCAGATAAAGGTTATAGTATCGTAGTTCTCGACCTGGCAACAAGTATTCAATGCGCTGGGCGTGACGGTATTCATGTGTTCAGAGATGCGCAGCAGATCGAGGTTTCGACCGTGACTTGTTAGCTGGCAAACCTTTTTCTAGTTGACAAGCTGAGTCGGATCCTCACTTTTGGTATATCTATAGTAGAACATCAGCTATCATAGTATATTGGGATACGTCATGCACGTGGTGTAGCACCGTGACGCCTGGCATGACGTACCGAGTGAGACTGCGACGGTACATAAGTACTCCGATCTACCACGGTGTTGATCTGAATCTAAAACATTATTGCACTAGCTTGCATTCGTAACACATGCATGGTTTAAATTTAAACAAAGTAATTCATTAGTATGTTTTCATGCCAGCTAGCGCATCATGTGATTCTGGCTAGTCCGGCCGCCGCCCGCAGCCATGCATTGAATGGCCGGCGCGTGCGCGGTTGAGATTGTGCGCTGCGCTCCTGCGTGACTCGTAGTACGTACCGGCTTACTACCGTATCGCCCGGCGTTCAATATAAACCGGCCTGGTAGTCAGATAACTTAATTGCCAGACACGCGTATGGTCATGTGCAATCACTATATCATATGATGACCGTCGTACCAGTCATGCCAGTGCCAGTGAGATGACGCACATCGAAATGACAGTTGAGTGCGTCATCCCAAACATACCCCATGTTGTCGCCAGGCGCGCGGAAGTACCTCGACTTGAGATGTGCGAATCCATGTGTCCTTGCATGGATTCAATGCAATATTCATTGCCCTAGAGAGCTATATACTGAAGGTGACTTCAATCTGTCGAATGTAATATGACGACCGTCTGAGTACGTTGCTTGTATCCTGAGTGTGCGACTGATTACCCTAAGTTCAACTGGCGCTGTATTATATACTCTCGTTCTGGCCTCTTTTCTGGAAAAACACCGAAGAATGAAGGCTAGGATAGATTGTATAAGCCTGGTCTATCAACCGTTACTAGTCTTCTGTACAGGCTCTGTCCGATCATTACGCAGATGCAAGCTCTACTACAAAAAGTCAAATGCTCATTTTCGAGCGTACAGTCTCTCCTATTCTACAAAAGGCTCTTACTTCAAGAATATTGCAAATCTTTAAAGTGTCTCTCACAAAGAAACTTACGTACATTCGAAGCTGGGACTACACGGATCTATTTCCACCTTCGGAGCCAGGCTTCCAAGCACAACTGGTCTGACGGGTAACGCGCGGTTTCAGGCACTCCACTGCTGCCAGTCCTGCGCTCGCTGAGACTACAGAATCCTGATCTACATGCAATCATGTGGAAAAAGAGCAACAGACCCTGGTTGCGCTAGCTGCCACGTATCCATATATACGACTCCTTGACCAGGAATCTGTCTACACAAGCGTCCAAAACCCCTAGACTTCTCACGAGGGCGGAGGACCTCACTAGTCCGCTCACGAAGTGCTCAACCTGAAAGCAGAGCATGCCCATAAGCGCTCAACCTGCATAGGCGAAGATCAGGCGATCTGAGACGGAGATAATATACGGTCTCATTTTGACAGCCGGACCAACTCAGACGGACCGACTCAGTAGAAATTTTCAGGTGCTACTTGAGAACTAGGCACTGACAGCCACATGTTCGTTGTTTCAGTTTAGTTTTTAAGTACTGAGCGGATGGCGCTTTGACACCATTTTGAAGGCAGGTCAGCCCATATTTCGGTATTCTGTCTAGGTTATTTTGAGAGAGGGGTAGAAATTCAAGTGGCAAATAGAGTTTGACGAGCAACGAGTCATCCATAAAGCACCCTGCTTTGGCAGGGCCATCGACAGCACTTTGTGAGATCAAGATCGAGCAGGCGCCAGTAGTGCGCAGGTGCGATCAGAGGGCAGCAATCGTCAAATCTACTATATTGAAAGAAAATGAAAGGGTCTGCAGCTTGAGGAGATAAGGTGGGAGGCACACACACACCAGCATAGCGAGCGCGCAAATGCTAGAAAAAGTCGAAGAACTGACGAATGCTCTCATATAACAGAGTCTACTCACCGCGCACTTTCAGCACTTCGCCTGCAGAGCCGCCCCACCCCTGCCAGACCCTTCGGCCCGGCCGCCGCTGACGTCATCCCGCGTCGCCCCAGGAAGGCCCACCGCGGTGGTGCCCTGGCCGGAGCTCTCGGCAGGCGTGGCCCGGGGGGCGAAACGCTCAGCGACTCGCCCGGAGCTCGGGGCTGCAATCTGGAAGGCTGTTGTGCCCACTCCCCTGAGTCCCTGCCTCTGCATTAGGGGCTCCACTGCTTGGAGAAGCGTCTCCAGCCCCGCAAGGAACGCTCGGCCCGACTCCTGAGTGGCTTCGATCAAGCCCCTGACGGCGACGACAACCTTAGGCCTGGTCTTTACATTCGCCCCGGAGACGATCTCCGAGCGCGCGGACAGTCCCCGGGGGGAGGGGGCGGACCCGCCTCCGGCGCGCTGCTCAGAAGGGGCCCCGCGTTCGGACGCCGAGCGCGTGGCCGGATGCGCTGTCCGAGGGGGAGCGCCCGCGCCTGACTGGAATTGCTGGGCACCCGCCGCACTGAGGGGTCCCGTTTCTGGGCCATTCTTCGGCAGACACGTGGCATCACCAGGAACGCTGCTCTCGGGAGCTCCCTCTACGCTGACCACACACCGCCCTCCGCCTTCCGCTGTTTGCTGCGGAACTTGAGACGGACCGCTCTCAGGGGCCGGATTATCGGACTGGGGCTGTTCCATCCTTGCATTTGTCCTCTCACTCCCTCGAATAGGTCCTCCGCCGTTTTCCGTGCTTCTTGTTCCCGTTCGACCGTTTTGGGCTGGACTTGAAACTCCTGCCGCCGCAGTCTGCTCGGCTCCATTCCGCGCCTCTGCTTCCCGCGCCCCAGTCTTCGTATTGCTCCGCGCCACTTCTTCTCCTTCTCCATTCGCTGCCACGACTTGGGTGCCAGACCCAAACTTCACTCCGCCTCCTGCAACGGCCGGCCGCGGTCCTTTCCCTTCTCCCATCAGCGCGGAACCCGCCCCTTCTTCTTCTTCTTTCGTTTTCCGTACGCTACTGGAGCCGCTCCCCCGCACCTGCTCTTTTCCGCTTGCACCAGATCCGGCCTCCCCTCCGCCGTCCGTTTTTGCAGTGACGTCAGCGGGCCTCTCTGCCAGAACGTCGCCGCCCCCATCTTCCAACGGCAGGGGGCCCCCGGGCGGCGCGCTCTCCTCAATGACCCGCTCTCTCTCGCGAATCTCCCGCTCAATGATAGCTGAGAGATCCTCCACTGACGTCTTCTTCTCGGCGCTTCCCCTCTCAGCCGTGTTCCCTGCAGCCTCGCAATCGCTTCTTCCCGCCCCGCCCTTAGCCGCCTCCTCCATGTCACAGTCAGCACCGCCATCATCAGTGACGTCACCACCCCCTCCTTTTCCAACCCCAGGACCCACGCCCGGCGCCACGTCAGACCCCTCTCTCGCCGCCACGTCAGCATTTCCCCAAGAATTGTCCCTGCCCACTGTCGGCAAGCCTCTCTCGTCTGCTTCCGTTTGGACAACCGCTCCGGACACCCGCCCTTCCACTGGCCCTTCCGCAGATTCGCCAGCGTCAAATCTGACGGCCCCCTGCGTCACTACGTCCGCCTTTTCACACTCTCCAAACGCAGCCGTCCCATCCTCAGCGAATTCCGTTTCCGTTCCGACCGGTGAGGCGTTTCCGTCTGCTTCATTCGCTTGCTCCGTGCGATCGGCACCAAACTCTTCGTTCTGCACCGGAACCATTGCTCTCCTTGCTTTCCGTGACGTCACCCCTACCTCAGCCCGTGCTTTCGGTGCACTTACTGGAACCGCAGCCCCCTCGTCTCGGTTGACCTGCTGGAGCGCTCTTCCGTTCTGTTGTTCAGCCGTTCCGTCGTTCAACCCCGGGTCCTCGGCAGACCCCTCTTTCTCTCCTCCTGCAGTTCCGGCCAAAGACATGCCTCTCGTCTCTTTCTTCCCCGCCAGCTCCGCTGACCCGAGCATCGGTTCCGGGGCCTCCTCAGCAGCCTGCCGTCCTCTGACACCCCTCCTCCGCTCCCCTTGCCCGGGCTTCCCAGCGACCTCAAATTCCTTCTTCTTTCTGACTCCCTGCTTGCAATAACGGGGCTGCTTGTCCACACCCGGTTTGCCCACACCTTTGTCCAGGACAGCTGGTGAGACGGGTTCCCTGGGTGCTCCTGTTCCGGCATCCGCTGTCCCCCGGGAGAAAGTCCCGACTACTTCTTCAGGAATGACCCGAAGATTCGCTGCACCCGAAAAAATTGGGCTGGGCGCTTCATGTCGGGGGCAGTCGGAGCGATTGGAGGGCGCGAAGTGCACTTGCGCCTGTAAGGTAGCGCACGAAGGGTTGAGCGAAGACTGCATCAAGCACCAACTTGCGCGTATTGCTCTCCTGGTTCGCTCCAGCGAACTCAATAGAAGATCTGCAGCTCTCCAGACTGAAGAAGCAATCAGAAGACTAAGCACGTCAAGCATTTGCGATGTGAGGCACGACCGTAACAAGGAATCTGCCAAACTTCAGCGACTTTCAGCGAACTGGTTGAGTCGAAGAAAACGGGAACAGTCTTTGGAGCATTTAATCTGAAATACGGACGCCAATCGGAGCTCTCGGAACTTTTTTCTGCTGCGCAGCTTGCGTAGGCATCAGAATGTGAAGATCTTGCATCCAAACACGTGCATTTGGTGCTTCTCTAAAGCAAAGGACAGCGACGTATTGGTTCTGTCTTCCAGTCTCAGGCCAATGACAAAGTCGTGTCGTTCGAGATGCACTCTCTTCAAGGAAGGAGACATTTCACCATGCATAGACCAAATTTACCCACTCCCTAAACACGTCAATCAAACAATCGTTTCACGCACAAAGAAGGAACCTCCTAGAAGTGATCTCTCGTCCTGTGCACATCGGGATTCGGATCTTTCCTGACTCAATAACACTCTCTACGCGCTGGACAGGACGCTCCTTTCCTGAAATTAACGACCGTGTGGTCGGCAGCCCGAACGAGAGAGACGTTGAGCCGGGCCGCAGAGTCAGACCATGCAGAGATGTCAGCTTTCGAAGTTGTAAAACCGGTACGTACGAAAGGCACCGTGGCAGAGTCAAACGGTAGACAACAGGAAGCCGGCGCCGGCAGAGAGCTTTTGCGGAGATTGAACAATCAGGTCAGCAAGGATCTGTCGATGTGATGCAGAAGTCCATGATTAGTGATTAAGGCAACATCCGGTTACAGCAGACACACGTCCAAACCCAGTAAAGCTGCGCCCTGGCATTATCCATCCAAATTAGGAAAAAAAACGTTCCACGTAGAATCCTTCCTCACCAGGCTTGCGGAGGGCAGCTCCTCGGAAGACAGCGTCTCCGGCCCAGCTTCTCCACCAGCGGCCTCACGCTCCGCAGCGCCAAGTCGCTTTTCCGTCGCCCTCGCGACAGCCTCAACTTCGCCATTCTCTCGCTCTCCCGCCCCTTTGCCGCTGCGTGGTCTCTGACCGCCCACTGTCCCGCCGCTCGAGCATCCGTCCCTCTCCATCTCAGACGTCATTTCAAAAATGTGGCGCAAGATCTCCAGATGTTCCGCAGGAGGTGGTCCCACAGGCCCAGGCCCAAGCGTGTCGCCGCCCCCCCCATCCGTAAATGTGACTAGCTTTGCCTCCCCCCCTGCCGAACCGGCGCTCTTTGGAGGCCCCCCTCGATCACCCTCTCCGCGCCGGCTCTTCTTCTTCTTCGTCCCCGCAGTAGTTTGGCCGTTTTCGCGCGGCCGCTTGGGAGTCACCTTGATCCTCTTCGAGGAAGCGACTGCGTGACCCGGCCCCAGCACTGTCTGCGCGAGCGCCGTGACCTCATTGTTACGCCCTTGTCCGTTGGGCTCCCCCTCCCCCTCAGCCTCACCTCTGAAGTATTCCGTTTTCTGTGACCCCTCTTCCTCCACCTTGCTCTTTTCTCCGCTCTCGTTCTTGTCCTCCTCCTCTACGAGCTTCCAGCGCTCCTTTGCGAATTTTACTGTCTCTAGGTCTCCGTCGTCATAGAGTATTTGCAATACCTTATATGTTCTGTGTTAGAGATCGGGCCACTACGGATCTCGCGGATACGAGAACCGATACCAACGTCAACGAGAAAAAGCCTCAGGCAAACTGGTATGTGCACTCTGCTAACTGACTGCGGTATGCTTTAATTGCTTCTCACAAAAATACCAGGGTCGCTTCAGAAGTGGACGGTGTCGATCTTCCTTTTGAGCCTGAGCCTCTTCGCTATGCATTCGAAAGCTACTCTTGCACAGGAGGTCTGCACGTTTTAAGGATTGCGACGGAGCAGACAGAGAATGCGCGGAACAAAGAACGTGTTGGCTCGTCCCCACCTGCCAGATGAAACTCAAACGAAGAAGAGTTTCAGTAGAAGCGACGACAACTTTGCAGGTTGGTTATCTACAACCAGCAACGCGATCAACTTGAAAGGGAAGTACTCGTACCTCATGCCGCTTGTTGCCGCTCACAAACTGGGTGACCCGCCCGGCGTAGTACCTGCGACACCGCAAAGGCGCTCGTCAGACCCAGGACGGAGAATCATCCGGGTGCGACGAAGCAAGGGATCAAGAGTCGTCGGCGTCAGCCATTCTCCGCGTAACAATCCAAGCAGATATTACGTGGACACGTGAATCTTTGTGTGACGAGCAGAAAGAAGTCGCGCTAAAATCATCAGAACAAAGAGGCCTCTAAAAAACGGGCGATGCGGCGCACATCTCTCGGAACCGGTCGTTTTGAGACGAACGAGCAGGGGCTATTACAAAGGAAGCTTTGGATTCTATTCCTCATTTGAAAGTAACGTTTAAAGATGAAATGTTCGGAAGACAACAAAAGAGAGACAGAGAGAGCAACGAATTTACAGGTCGTTTCAACGCATTGCAGGGAAAGGAGTCCAAAATGTATACGCAATCTGACAGGTCAAGAAGACGAAAGAGAGGGCAGAACCTTACCTTTCGTCAAGAGGCCACCAGATTTCCACCCGCCTGTTCACGAGCGTGCTGTCCAGGGGAACTCCGTAAACCTCCGCTTCCGCAGCCGAAGCGTGCCGTTTCTTCCGGGGGCGCTCTGGTTCGTTGAACAAGGCTCTCTTGGGCTTCCGCTTCCCGCCTTCCTGTTCGCGCCCGGGAGACCCCTGGGGCCACCGCCTTCTTTTGCTGTCTGCGCGGGCTTCTTCCTGCCCGACTCAGGTGTCCGAATATCCACCTCCTCCATTTTCTCTGTCCCGCGCGCAGGTCGACCTCCCCCGCTCGTCTCGTTCCCCCTCATGTAGCATTTCTCGCACTTGAACCCCCCCTTCAGATCTTCACACCAGCGCTTACACTTCGTCGTCCTGCACTCGGCGCACTGCTTCTCTTCAGTAAAAACTGACCCCTCAGCCTGCCCCGCACTATCGTCGGGCAGCTTTTCAATCTCAGCAAGTGACTTGTTCTTTCCTCGCACGTCCTGGCCGACTCCCGGTGGCCCCTGTTTCGATTGTCTCACAGGCCCTTCTGCGCCCGCGAAATCGGGGGGCCCTCCTGCTGACGTCAGCGAGTCACTCACCGGCCCCCTCTCACCACTTTTCCGACTGCGCCGCTGGCCCCTTCTAGCGCCCGAGATGAGTCCCCACCGTCGAGCACCGCCGATGGGCCCGTCGCCTCCCACACCATCCCAATCATGCTCCCCCCCCTCTTGCAGTCCGCCAACTCCCCCTGTCTCTTCTCCCTCGTCCGGTGCACTCTCCTGCTGCCCCACTGACTGCCCGGCCGCGTCGCTGACCCGCTCGCCGAGAGAGGGATCCCCCAGACGACCCTCAGCCATGACTGGTCCCCCTAGAGAAATTTCAGGCCCCAGCGAGGTGCCAAGCGCCTCCACCGCAGCCGCTTGCTCCCCCGCCAAGCGCCTGCGCCGTACATTCGCCTGCGCAATCGGCGCCTCGGGGTGCAGAGGGATGCTGCCGGTCACCTCGCCGCTGTTCTGGACGACCTCATTTCTGAGGGGGGCTTCGGCTGGTTCTGGTTCCTGCATGTGGTTGGGGGACGAAGCAGGCTCGGCTGGCTGAGAGCGGACACTGGGGCAGGTTTCGTCTGCTTCCGCTGGCAGAGTTCGCAAACCAGGTTCGAGTCGTCCTCTAACAGGACAAACCAGGGATCGCTCTTCTTTCTCTTGCAGACTCGGCATCGATGGCTGTTGAGGGCGGGTGTGGTCTGGAATGTCCTTGGGAACAGGTGCTCGGAAGAGGGGCCAGCCATGGTGTTGTTCATCCTGCTTGGATGCTGGACAAGCTCTGCTGAAAGGAAAAGTAAAAGACAAGTAAAAAAAGCGCAATTGAAGGCAGGGGGGCAATGATGTCATCTGTACGAAGGGAGACAGCAAGACTGAACATGAGGAAAGAAATCGGGGTTATCGAGCTACCTTCTTGATCAGACACCGGCAGAGATTGACATGAGCGGCTGCTTGAAAGGATAGGCAATGCAAATAAGAGAAATGTTGAAAGATGCTTGGAGTTGACCTCTATTGAGGGTGGCCATACATGGGAAAAGATTGCATCTATCCACAGCCACATCTCAAAAGCAAGTTGTAAGAAGAGCTGGAAGTTTATGTGAAAGGATCTACTCTGCTCTTTTGACAATTAAACAGGTGGGAAGTCAGACAGATGCTGAACTGGTTCCCAGCATTCTTGAATAGCAAAAATGCATCAGCAAAAAATTCCTTTTCCTGAAGTCCGTTGTTTAAAGCACCCGATCCAATCCCTTGGGGCAGCAACGCAACAGAGATGAAACAACAACCTTCTTGAAATGTCAGCCTTATTATTCGCAATAACAGATACAAAAGAAACAGTCAGCTTTCCGCGTTTTGTCAGCTTGAGCATTTGCAACGGTATACTATTTCATCTCGAAGCGAACTTCCAACATCAAGTATGCAAATAATCAAATACCCCTCTGACAACGAGGGGTATGTACAGGCCCTTTTCAAAGTACCTACCAGAAGCTGGCTGCAAGCATTCACAACTGACGCATAGGCTAGACTGTAATGATAGGGCCTATACTGGCAAAGACTGTGTTAAATTGCATATTTGCAGGGTCAATCTTGCTCTGATTACAACCGCAAGAGTTGCAACGCACGCTAAAACTTGGCCATGGCATAACCTTGGAGCTGTGCTTACCTCTGGCAGCATCATGCTGCTAGTAGAGGGCTTGCCTCCATTGAGCGGCACACCAAGGGCTCAAATGAAGCCACCGGCCTAAACATCCTTCAAGCATGGATGCAATTGCTGGCCGTGCTCCCTGAATATGAAAGAGGCAGTTCTGAAGGTGTTGCATGGTCGAAGTGTGAGGCAGTGGCCTATCCTGAAGCATCAATTTGCATTTGTGATGATGGCATTTGACAGGAAAGAGGCGCAAATGACAAGCAGGTGCTCAAGACTTTGTAGGAATATCCTTCAATGTACAAATCTTTCTTATCATCACTACCAAGCACAGTTCTGCATTGACAATAAAACAATTAAGCTGACAAAGCAAGTGGCGCAAGGAAAGGAGCCAAACACGAAAAGCAGACAATTGATGCTGTGAAAACGCTCTATTAATGCTCACTTTGGTCTGCATTTACTTGCTTCCATTGATAGACCTTATTTCTTGACAAGATCACAATATAGTCGCCACTTTGGCACAGCAGGGACTTATATCATATCAATCAAGTAAGAATATGCGCTTCCGACACGCACTTTGCTAGACAAAGTATCAAGCCCCTGCGCCACAACTTTCAACACCTGATTGCGTATCTGGTGCTTACCCTAATCTCAAATAGCAGCCGGAACATATGCCTGCATTGCAAGGCCTGCTTCTCTCAGCACGCTCGCATGTTGGCGCGAGCCAAGGACTGCCAGATTTTAAAAATGCTAGGGTAATCCAGTGTCTCCTGACCTTTCTCTCTTGACCCTGATTGGCAAGACCTCCGCAAAATTCTCAGATGTTTACAACTTTCAATCACATTATCTTCGGTCCGGCCTCAGCACCCTCATGACACTCTGCTGATGGTGGTGCCAAAGCTTTAGGCACTTGTAGCAATTTTCTCTAAGCAACTTCTTGAGGTTTCCCACCTTCCTAAGACTTCACATTGTGCATCTTACATACATTGTGACCAGATCTTCTTGGCAATCGATCAGGCCTTCAAAGCCTCCTTCAACCTTCGCCTCCTTCAGCCTTCACTTTGCCAGCAGTGGCACATGAGAAATTCTCTCTCCTTGCAATTTGCAAATGCAAGCTCCTGAGTGCTCAGGCATGATCATGAGGCAGTCTGTCCAGAGGAGCTCCAGTTTGCGAGCTAGCAACTAGCAGCGGGAGGCTTTCTCCAAAAGATTAAGGTCAGGGTGTGGCATGTGCATATCGAAACTCATATACCTACACCGTCCATGTATCAAAGCACAGCATCCGACGGTATAAATAGCGCCCCTTCGTCAGCATAGAGTCGACTAGTCATGAGAATGGCGATTTCCTAGCTTCAAGTTCAAGTTCAAGTTCAATGGAATGTCAGACTCAAAGGCCATGCAAAGGGTGCAAAGTGCAGAAAACCTTCACGCAACCTAGGGCTAAATCAAGCAGTGAATGACAACGAACAAGCAGCTAGCAGAGGCCACTAGCAGAGAAGGACGGCTGAACAGGTTTGCAGGGGGAAGAATGGCATTGCAAGCTGCACTCTACAATCCGGAGGACGAATCAGAGCCGCAGCAAAGTGGTATTCCGATAAGTCAATGCCGGTGCCAGTTTACAAGGGCGGGCGGCAGCGCTGGAAAGAGCAGTGGGGCAGTGGGAGGGGAGTGGGAGTCGAGCTGTGCTGGGGCCTGACTTGGGGGATCCCCCTGCTGCAGGTTTTGAAAATGTGGCCAAAACTTTAAAGATTGCATATGAGGTGGGACAGCAGGAGACGGCCAGAATTCGGTTCCGCTGCGGCTAGGAGAAGGGGACTGGCGCATTTGCAGGAGGGAAAGGCAAGAACAAGGGGGGTGTACGTGCGGTCATAGATGGAGCCAAGAAAGGTTCCGGCGTTGAGGGAAAAACGCGGGGCACGAAGACTGGGCCGGGGTATGTGACCTACACCATGAGGAAAATGTGCAGTGAGTGCCTTGGCAGTTTTTTAACCTCACCTGTGATACCTGTTCAAAACAGACACCGGAGATTCACCCTCCTTTGAAGTTAGCACGTGCTTGCGGCGGGTAAGTTCCGCACGTGTATCTCCCCAGAACTCTGGAGCGAATAGAAGCCTCATGTTTAGTTATTGGGCGTGAACTCAGATTTGAAGACCATACTCAGGTGTTCCACGCTTTTCCTCGGCTTCATGTCGTCAGCGTGAGAGTCTGAAAAACGTAAGAGCTTTCCGTTGAGCTTTCTGGCTTGGAGGCGAGGCCTGTCTCGATGAATTAAGGAGCCGTTGTGTGAGGCTCTTTCATTATTTGGTTGGAAACAAAGGAGAAACCCTTGAGCTCCAAAGACCTGATTGCTCTGCATTGTTAAAAGCATTGCTCTGCATTGTTGAGGGAACAGACTGCTTCTGTTATGCATAGAAGGAGGGTTGGAAACTTGAAAGAGGAGTGTAACTTTTCAGAACAGGGTCAAGGAGCATTTAGACAAAGGAGATCTTAAGTATCTGCGGAACAGAAATGCTAGTCTAAAAGAAAGCGCTGGTGGACAACGGGATCTCCACTCTGCGGCATCCTCCTTTTTCATGTTGCCTCCGCCTCAGAGTATCAAGAACGCTGAATACTATTTTGGCACGAATCTGTTAAAGAGGAGTAGAAGTAAAGAAGAAAGTCGGTTCTGGACAACCTCTGCGCTTTGCACCATGAGACCCAATACCAAAGACCTTAGTTGCTTAGTTGCTTTTCTTAGCACGAAGTTGCCTGCGGTTTTTTTCTCGACAACTTACCAGCAAGTGCAAGGTCTTAATATAAATGACAAGAATAGAGGAGCGGGGCTGGGGCGCGCGGTGCGAAGGGGGGTGGGGGCGACCGCGGCTGGTGCCATGCGGGCCTGGCAGCATGGGGGCCATTGCCGCAGAAGTACGTGCCAGGGCAAGGATAGCCGGGGTAAAGGTCAGTTCTGGCGAACTTCCTTTGTAGGCCTCATGAGCCACCCGCTTGGAAGTTGAGACGGGCCTATGAGGCACTTTGTTGTGAGTATCTACACGGCGATCTCCGACTATAGTGAACACTCGGTCCGTTTGTGCCACTCACAGAACTTTGAGCAGTGCGTAATGATGAAGGTGGAAACTGAAAGGGTTCAAGTGTTTTTGCCCTATCCAACCTCTGACCAGACGCCAGATGTGGAGACGTATTAGAAAACTTAGGTCGATATTTGCAGCGAACCAACGCTTGCTGCAAAGATCAGAATCGGGACGGATCCGGCTGATATAGTCTGCCTTCTATTGTGTCTGCTTCGCATGCCCGGGCTTGTCGAGCGTGATAAGACTAACCTATACTGTCAGCTGGAAGTCTGCAAGCTCCCCAAGGGAACAGGGCCGACCTCTTTGTGACGCGTTTTGCCTTCTGGACTCCGGTCTTTCAGAGTCTCGCCGATCTCACTGTCCTTTGGTTTTCTGGCTTATCACAACCGTTCGCTTATCACAACCGTTGAGGACTCTCGGGCGGTTGAAGCACATCACAACCGTTGAGGACTCTCGGGCGGTCGCGGCACGGTGAGGTGACAGCAGCTGCGGAAGGTTCTTGTGCCATTCTCTTGAAGTCTTTCAGCACAGCCGTGACCTATTCTGAACGACAAGAGCTGGACGACAAGAGCTGGGTGCGCTGGAGCTGAAGAAGAGCCGGTGCAATCATGGTCACGGTTTTTCCATTCCACGCTTAAATGCGTCACTCGTGAGCTGGAGAAGACGGTCCTCAGGAAGCGTGCCCCGGTTCCCAAACAGATTCGACCCGGGAACGAAGAGCGGTTCTTGGTATCAGATTATGGGCGGTTCTGCTGACGTCACCAATTCCTGTTATGTCATCAATTGAGGACATCACCTATTTGCGGCAAAGGCAGGAACGTGGCCTTCGTGAGAAGCTGGCGGGTCTTGACGCGCGCTTTACGAGGAGGATGCCGCAGGATCGAGGCCGCGGCCGGCTGACAGCATCGGCTGAATGCACGTAAGGAAACTTTCTCCAGTCGTCATCTGTTTCTGAGCCTTCAGAACCCTGTCAATTGTGCGCCATCTTATCGTTGGCTCTGACCGACTGACTGGTCTGGTAACGAGCATATTCGTTTAGAGGATCGGAACCCTGGTGTCGACCTTTCCCTGGTCAGCTTCAATCTGCGCTTCAGTTGCGTTCCTTTTACCGCTATTGTTATTGCGGGTCGCTTGGTTCCCAGGACGCGGACTTGACGCTTTTCCTGTTTGGGGGCATGCAAGACGTCACGGTGCTGTGCAACGGGGATCCAGTACGCCTATGTAAAGCCCTCTCTCGAGCAATGTTTGTCGAAGAATAACAATCGACAGGCCCACCTTCTCTTTTTCCGCCCTCGTACATATCTGAGCTGTTGCAACTTCCTCTGCAGTCAGCCTTCGACGGCAAGATGGTTTTTTCCTGGCCTTGAAGGTTGCTTCCGATTTGAGTCAAGGCCACACCCCTCATCAGCACGGCAACTTCCGGCCGTAGTACAGGTGCGTGTAAGGCTGTCCCGGTCTTCCATCAGTTCCCCTGTCTTTAAGACTAGTCGTCTCGCCTGGTTCTATATATGACACGCGCACTTGACGTACTCCACCACAGTCTCTTTCGACCAACCTGCAAATGATGCCAAAGACTAGATGTAAAGAAATGTGGCAACTTTGTTGATATATTTCTGAAAGCCGGGCGAGACATGAGGTGGCAAAAAAAAGGTTGTTCGCAGACCTGCGGGTACATTTGGCCCGAGCAAGTCGACAAACGTTTTGACAAGAACTTTCAACCTCCTCAAAACTGCTCGCCCGCGGATCCGAATTCAGAGACTTTTTCGAGGAACATCAGTAGTTTCGTTTGCAGGACCTCGAAAAACGTACAAAATTCTGTAAAATTCCGATTACTCAAAGGCTGTGCCTTCTGATGAATCGCCATACCCTGAACATAGTTTCGAAGTTTCTGAGGAGAAACGAAAGCAACCTGCCTGGACGCACGGAGGACCCTCATTCCCACGATGCTTTCGTTGATCACTCTTCTTGAGTTTGTCCCCGATCCTTCACAATCTTCCACAATTGTTCTGGTCTTGCGACTCCCATCCAAAAGCACGACTAAACAAAAGCTTGTTCTCTGCGAAGTCCTCGAAAAATCAAAAACCTTTTCAAAGCATATTGCCGAGCTCAAACTCCCTTACACTGACCACGTCCACATTCGCCCTCAGGTCTGACCAAGCTGAATCTGGTTTGCCGAGGAAGTCGACCTGATCCTGAACGAGTTGCTGTTTCCCCACCCGCATACGCGACCGCTCAGTAGTCCTGGCTCAGCTTGTGTCGGCGTTTGATGATACAAATGCGGTCGCGCTTCCGGCGGTTGTACTGGACTCGGCAATCCGTTCCGACCGGCAGGGCGGAAATGTTTCGTCACATTATCAACATTTGGACTGGAGTGATTATCACACCATTAAAGCTTGTAACTCGTACGTACGAGCGGATGAGCGTGCCACGGCTAGTAGCATTGAGCAATGTTGAACGAATCCAGCTCATTCTCATGCACGCTCTTAAGTCAATGTGCACATGCATGCCATGATCATGGCAACGTTGCATGGCTGCCGCCGCGTCCGGAACCGTCGACATACACTTTGGCCATCCATGACGGTGACAGGCGTTCAATGTGCGCGATCGTCGGACATTGTTGAACATTCCGACTGGGACTCACCTCCCTTTCAAGTTTCAGATCGAACGGTTGGAGCCAATTATCTGACCGGCGAAATCGCATATCCGATCTAGCGGCTATGACCCGGTGACCGTGAGCGCGACATATACGGAAGTATTGATTGATGTGAATTAAGCCCGCTAACTCAAGTCTTGATTGACTAATCAACACAATTTCCGACTCAAAGGTCGATATCGACTCATGACCGCGGTGAATGAGAATGAGAATGAAAATTTCCAAATGTATAGTCACGGCCGTCGTTGAGTCCCAGGCTGGACAAGCTGAGCCATGCATCCACCATGCTGGCTGGCATGCTTTCAACTGCAAGCAGGCGGCCCGGCCAGAGGATCCCGGTACGTTTGCATGGCGAAGGTGCGGATGTACACTTTGGTTTCCTCCACAATTGCGCAGACAGGGATGCAACCGTACCGTCGTCTGATGATTGTTATATAATACGCATGGTTCGCGGTTCAACATTCAACATTCAAGATTCAATTAAGTGGCGCCATGCATGTATCTCATAATGTTTACCGCCAACTTGACTAAGGGTTGACTAGGCTAGGTGCTTCCAGGTTTTTGGGGCTACCTATTCTGGCCGCTGGCCGGGTCCTATATCCATCTGAGTCCCGTCGCTTGGGTAGCGCAGACAGGGCGCTGGGTCTCTTGGAAACCCTTAATTGAAAAGAAACGGACTCCGGACTTGTTGAATGCTCGCAGACCCCAACAGCCTGTGGCTGGGACAGGGCCTTGTACAAATGAAAAAGATATAGCCGGTCATCAAATTTACCCTTTATCGATGAGCTTACAAAAGTGCCCAGCTTGTGAGACTTACTTGTGCAGACTAGAAAGAACACAATTCGTGCAAGCCTGCCGTTTTGACGTCCACAGGAAGCCCGTCAAACGAAATTGGTCGGAACGAAGTTTCGACATGTCACACCCCATTGAAGCCCAAATCCTCCCTCACCTCATGCTCCAATTGACCACTTGCTGCCACTCTCAGCTCCGTCCACAGCGCGCCTCCGCCGCTGACGCCTCGGACCCGCCCTTATTGACGTCATCCCTCGCGCTTTCGCGCCCCTGGGGGATAACTTCCAGGGGAGACTGTCCGTGGCTCTCGGAAGCTGGCGTGGCCGGTCAGGCACAAGGCGCGAAGGCTCTTTTGACGCTCAGCGTTCCGGTCTGCCGCCCCGGTCATTTAGGGCCCCCTGCCTCAGTCCGCCGTCGATCCCGCAGCAACGCGAGCCTTCGGAGGGACGCTCCCAGCCCCGCCCCGATCATCCGGCCCCCCGTCTCGGTTGCTTGAATCAGCCCCTCAGAGCGGCGACTTGCTCGGTCCAGGGCTCTGGACCCGCCGCTTGGAGGACATTCCGGGCGCTCGCGCAGGCCCCCGGGAGAGGCTGACGTCACGCTGCGCGGAAGGTCCGGGTCCGTTCTCGAGAGCTCGGGTCGCTCTTAGGCTCTGAGAGCTTGTCTGCAGCTAGCTGCATAAGCCATCCAAAGGTAACTGGAGACGGCAGCTGCTTGACCCTGCGAGGCCCAGACTCGGTGCAACCCCGTTGCGCATGCAGGGCGCTTGTTTGCCTGACACGTGGCACCCGCTGGAACGCTTCCCCTTAGGCTTTGGCGACCACACCCCACTTCGCCTCCCGCTGCCTGTTGCGAAGCTTCAGCTGGGTCACCCTGAATGGCCAATCTCATGCGTCCCCTCCGCTCGTTCCCCTGGGCTCTGGCGGGCTCCGTGTGTCTTGATCAACGGCCGGGAAAGAGCCGCGAAAGAAGCACGAAAGAAGCGCTCTGTCCCGCATCGGAAACGCCGAAAGCTTTCAATACAATTGAACTTCGCCCAAGGAGCACCGTCTATATTTGGATTCTCTGAGAAAGGTCTTTACCGGTTTGCTGGACTCAAAATTCTTTTGTAGATACCATGCTCGGCCGAGCATCTTAGATCCTGTTTAAGCAGAATAGTTTCCCATGCACTTATAGGCGTCACACGTGACCAAAATAACCTTCATCCTTGATAAACGTCAATTTTTCCTCTGTTGGAATCGACTGTCTCAATTGCACGCCATCTTCTTAATTCGAGGCAAAAGGCTGTGGGCGTAACGTATCATGACAAATTTGCACTTAGTGCTTTATAGGGAATGGGGTTTTGATCAACTGCCATCGAAATGATTCTAGATGTTTACTAAAATGCAGGACAGGGACGTCCGGGGTTGTCGTGACCACCTTTCGATCTAGTTTCGAAGCCAACGAGGACAAGATAAAAGACAAAGACCTAGTTGAATAATCGATCATAAGTATTATATGAAAGGAAGATAAATCATAAATAGCATACATTGTTGGTAACGGAGTCTGTAACGTTCCCTTGAATAAACTTTGATCGAATCGACTGATTCTGCATTCATTGGCAACAGTTGAACTTGTGAGTCGCCAAATTAGAAGGTATCAAACTTGTTGTCTCCACGATTTAGGGAGTGCCGCTATACGTATTGAGCCTTGCGCCGTTCCAGCAGTGTACGTGCTCATGTTTCGGACTGAATGTTGTAAGATCGATTGAAGGCTATTCTGTCTTTGACTAAGTGCCATCATACCAGCGCCTCTTCGGGTTAAAGTGAAATCTTATTTCCAGGATGTTAGAGCGTGTGCTTATAGCTGACCCGGTAGGCTCTTGCTCACTCACGTTCATGATTTGAGAACATTCGTGTACTATTCTAAGTGACTTACGTACTCGAGTTGCCCCACACGGCGCTCGGGATGAAGTTTGAACACATACCTAAAGTCTGACTCTCTTTTTGGGATTTTTTCTCCACTTTCGCGGCTTTGGAGGTCTGGAACTTAAGCAACTCCACTGAATTCCTTACAGCTCAGCTCTTGCGAGCGTCTCTCCTTGGCAACTATCGTCTGATCCGCAGAACGTTACTACGCGACATTGCATTCTGCATGCAGTTTGCATGACGGAAACCTCTCCGGAACTCTATGGCGGTCTGTACATTATGTCAACTTGCAGAACGGAGTCAGGCCCATGCAACGCCGACTTCGATCAACGCTTTTGAATTGAAAACTTCAGCTAGCTTTCAAAACTAGATCGAAACCCCGCCTTGAGTCCATTTTAAACGTCTGTAGCCAGTCCCAGCATGCGTGCAGCTTGGTATCCAGGTCTTGCCACGATAAGCGCGTTGAGGACCTTGTAGGCGTTCAAGGCGGCGGGGCCAAAGAGGCTCCCAGCCTGTATGGATAAACAGAGGTTTGAATCTTGCTGTTCTGATCCCGGCCCTGTGAAGGTCGTCTCCTGACCAGTTTTGGGCGAGCTCTCAATAAGTCTGCATGTACGTCTGGCCCGCTAGTAAAGATTTTGTCCACATATCTTACTTGCACAAGTTGCAGGCAATTTCACCTTGAAGTATTTGAAGCTACTTCCCTTGGTCGACACCCAAATAAACCAGAATCTGGGTTCTGTCTGCCTTACAAAAGTTGTCACGCTCTATCCTGACAGTGCGTAGACGGTTTGCAGATAACGGGACAAAAGCCTCCGTACGTCAGAGCCTTGGAAGAGCTTCTAGTGCCAACCTCCCTTTGCTTGTCATACATTGAAGCGCGAGTAGAGCACGCGCTGAGGGCCAGGTGGCAGATTCGTACTAAAGATAGCCCATGCGACAGTCCCCTGCACACAGAAGTTTCCGATGCTGCTATCGCGTTCCGGGTCAGGCCACAGTCTAATTAATCAAGAAACGGATTGACGTATCTCCTACCTCGTTCGATTGGGGTCCGCCCCCATCCAGGTCGGAGACGGATCGGAATAAATTAAGACGATGAACGGAAGGCCATTCGACGTCGCGACCTGCAGGGACAGGCTCCGAGCATACCAACTTATTCATATATCTTGTAGAGTACTTAATTATCTGTTTTTGCGAGCAACGATCGGTCTCGTGCACGACAGCTGCAGGCGGTCAATTCTCAAACACGAAGCGTGTCTCAAAACCGTTCCACTTTTCTTTCTTTGCTTAGTAGACGTGTTCTAACAACGAGTTTAATAGATTCAATGCAAACGCACTGAGCTCTTCAAATTGTAACGGCTTCTTTGAGAAATGGCAGCAGCTACTCTTGTGGCTGTTACACTAGGGTTCCTTGAAGTTGTTTGGCATTAAGTGAGTCAAGACGTTATAACCAAGAGAAGCTGCGCAAACGAGTCTTCTTGGGTTTACGCATTGATTGCCCCGCTTAACGTGGACCGTTCGACCGTCCAGCTGGCAGCCTCGGACTCGATTGCCGGGGCTCAGCAGGTTTCGACTTGCCAGAAAGAGGTACACGGTGTACTACAGCCCCGAGACCACGAATTTGAACACACCATGATGGCGACGGCGGACGACTCCATGTCGATCGTAGTACGCACGGACTTTCCGGGAGCCCCCAGTGTCGCTCCGATGAAGCCGCGCACCGCTGCGTTGTCCACGAATTAAAGATCTCTGCGTCCACGCCCCGGGCACCGATGACAACCTTGAGCCGCATGCTTGGAAAGGCACCCCGTGCGGGCAGCCATATCTTCGCCGTCGCGTCCAGTTTCAGATTCTAAAGGAGCGAACCTGACGGGCAGGCATGCAAGGATTGGTTTGCAGTTGGTGGCGTCATCAAGATTTCAGGAAAGCTATGGGAACAATGTGGACTAGAATACGCCAGTTTTGCGCTATTTTCATATACACCTGGTGAGGGCAATTATTCTGCGAACGAGACAAAATGGAGTCAATCAGGATGGTCCGGTCAGGCTGAAAACCAGGACCCCGCTCGTGAGAGTTCTTCAAGAACTCGACATTCTGGGTTTGGAGTTGAAGGCACTTTGAAGAGTAAGCTAGGCACTTCTCATGCGTAGTCGTCTTAGTACAGCAGGAGTTGCAGAGTGGTTTCTATGAGTAGCAACCCAAAGCTGCACTCAGATTCTTGTAAAATCAATGCAGGCCCTTGATTACAGGAACCGTCAGACCGCAATCAAACCAAGTCGGAGGGCAGGGTTTGGATATATATGTTGCAATTTCGAGCAAGTCTCGTGCGTTCATGCCAGTGAGTGCGTGGTTGCAAAGAAGGGCCATCTGGTGCAGTGCGCAGTGCCTCAGTAGCAACAGGTTTCAAGTCAACTGTTCCGAATTATCAAACTTCATACTGTTTCAAGATGGCTTCATCGGTATCTGCGTCTTAGTAACAAGTAATTAGATAATCAACAAAAGAAAAATTACCGGCCCTTCAGACCATATTTCCAATGATTCCTTACCGAATCATGTATGGCTGAAGTTTGTAAAGTTGGAAAAGTGTCCCTTTTGATTGAGGGGGGCAGGGGGGCCAGGTCTGTGGGCCTTGGGCAGCCATTGGCCCCATCAGAAGCCGCATCATGAGACTGACGTCGACTCTTAAAAATCTATGGAAATCCCAATATCGTAAGCTGGCGCAGATAAGTGCGGCGCTAACTGCCCGGGCCGGGGACGGGTGATCACCCGTCCCCGTCTCCGTCCCCGTCCCCGTGTTTCCCATACTCACCCTAGTAGTGAACCTTCAATCTCGAGATTAAAGGTTCACTACTAGGGTGAGTATGGGAAACACGGAGCAGTCGACGATCGTATTGATGCTTCAGCCGTTCGGAGCTACTGTCCCATGCATTTACATCGTTCACAGCTGTTTCTGAGTACAAGTGCATCTCGTGTGCCGCCGAGCGACACGCTGATCGGAATGAGATTAATATTGTCAGATTGCGAGTACTGTCTCGTCAGCTAGCACCGTCGCAGCATGTCTGACACAATACAAAATGCACCCTATGCTAACGTCACTGATGCTGACCTCAGCAAGAACTGTTCTGCATGAAGAATTTTCAAAAAATAATCCAAGAATAAAAATAGAAACAGGAAAACGAAATATAACAAGAAAAGTGGGGGGGGGAAATTACTTCCGGCGATTTCCGTAGAAACTTTGAAAGTTTCCGTTGATTTGAAAGTTTGAAAAGATGAACGACCTAGATATAGAGACTCCCAGACTCCAATCATCCGATTAATTAGCCATCTACCCCAATCCCGTACATGAAGTTTGCTCCTTTCCACGTCACTCGCTTATATCAAGTTGTAGATGAGGAGATGCATTACGTATCGGACTCAATATTGTATAGGTACTCGACTACCAGTACCGTATACACGTTAAAATATTCAAATACAAATGTCCACATTGGTGCCCCCAGGGCCCGGGGGTATCGAGGCATTGAGGGCCCGGGCCCCGCACTTCCGAGACAATTCGTGACGTACTCGTGACCAGGCCAAATAGGTAAGTAACCGCCGGCCCCCGCAAACCGCATGAACAACTTTCCCGCCGGGGGGGCCTGTTCCGGTGTTCCGGCCCCCGGAGGTCCAAGCTTCGAGTGCAGGGGGCGCTAACATTGGGTACCGCCCCGGTCGCGATCGGCGCCGGTGACGCGCTGCCCACTGCCGCTGCCGCCGGCCCCCCCGGCCGCTTCTTGGATACCGGTGGCACGAAAGGATCACGCTTTCAGCTTTTGTTGTACGTGACGACGTACCGGCCAACCCGGAGCCACTGTTTCTCCCGGTGGCCCGGTGGCGAGCTCTCTGGAGTCTGCTATTATTAGTGGCACCAATGGGGGGGGGTGGGCGCACATGCATGATGCACCAATGTTCAAACCCCAGCTAATCCTCGTAATAGTACTAGTACCAGTACTGGAAGTACTGTAGTACTACCTACACTACCAACCACCATAAATTTCCGTACCGTACTACAACCGTACTGTCCGTACATAAGAGCGCAGTGCGCACCCCTGCTTGCACCGATAGGGTGGTCACATTTGAGGTCGCCGCGGCGCAACCTTTGGTAGAGCTAGAGGGTCCGTCTGACTCTAAAACTAGGACTAGAGAGACAAAGACTCGAGCTGATGCTGGGGAAGTCTCGTTCTAAGACATCGATCCGGTGACGTGACGTGCCTCGTATCTGCCTGTACGTATGTGCCTCTTTCCGAATCCGACTCTTCTACCTAATCCATTCTATCCTATATATTCCATTCTTTCTACCTTCACCGCATTCTATCTATACCATTCTATCAGGCTATTCCATTCTATCTACCTTCACCGCAGCTTCTAGCTAGTCCATTTTCAAAGGCTGCAAATCATTGAATGGTGGCCTGGTCCCCGTTTTTTCCTATCAATATTACGAAAGCTAGCGGTCCCCTAGCGGTGCTCTTCAGGGGACGGCCAGGGCCGTGCCCTTCCGGTGACACCTAGGCTGCCCACCAGGTGACAGAAACAACTCCAAATATGTGAAGCATTTCGGTGCAGCGCACGTGCAGGAGTGGTGTGCTGATACAAGCAGGAGGATGCCTGTGTCGCAGTTGACTAGATTAGCTTCCCCGTTAGCTCATGTACACCGGAGCAATGCAAGTACTATGTAGCTTAAAGCTTTCTGTTTGGTTGAATTCTCTTCTTTCTGGTGACTTCAAGTTGGAGGCATGGCAGCGCTGACCCGGCAGCGTGTGCAGACTGAGTGCAATGAGAACCTGCCTTCCTTGTTGAGACAATGCCTGCACGGCTTGGTCTCCAATACCTTGTTGCTGTAGCCATCTAGTCTTGCCATGCCCTGTGCATTTTGCTTTGCCTGTGGTTTGGAGAAGTTTTTATTCAACAATTGAAAACATAGCTGCTTGTTGGATCTTGTGGTTGAGTAATAGCTTCCTGCAAGGAGCTGGCCCGTAGTTGGGGCCACCTTTGCTGCGCAATGGCCGGTAGTAAAGCTAACTCATGCTACGTATACTTTTCTATGAATGCATCATACAGGGGTGTCCAAAGACTCCAAAACTTTTGTTAAAGTTTTTGACTGCTGTCCGCCTTTCATTGAAAGGCTTCTGGGCTGGCTAAGATAGAGAATATGTCTTGCCCTCCTTCCAATTGTCTGTACATGGCTGGACTCAAGTTGCAATGTCGTCACACGACCTTGTTTGCCTTGCGCAGTTGCCAAGCGTTCTCGTTGGTGGAGGTCGAGCAAGCCGAACACTTAGCAGCTGTTGAACCACAGTGAGTTCTAGGTGACACTTCTTTTTAAATGAGTGAATGATCTGAAGTGCACCAGGCTCTTTAGCTGCTGGATTTGTATAGGGTTGCTTGCAGACATCCTTGCTTTATTATGGGTTATTTGGAGACAGATCATGTGTGACAAACAAAGTTGCCACTTCAGTTTCTGCTGGGGTGGGTTTATAAAGGGTCTTCTGGCAGGAAGCTTTTTATGTTTGACTCACCTCTAGTCAAGCCTGAGCACTTCACTTACACCATCGAGGATGTCAATCAAACACTAACCAGTCCTACAGGCCAATGGCGCGGAAATCTAGTTGCCGCAGTTTGGTCCTTGCTCTCCTGGTCAGCTATCTGCTGATTACTGGCTGGAATGAGTTAGGCATAACAGCACAGCCCGGTGAGATGCACGCCTCTGCTTTGATCGTCCTTCTCGTTGGTTGGAATCAAACGAAGCCTGAGCTAGAGTACTGATCCAAGTCAGGCCTTGAAGAATGGTAGGCCGCTGTCATTATGAGCTTATGAGATAAGTCGGCCTGCATGTCTGTTCCATCAATTTGATTGCTTGCCTCTGCCATCCAATGGTCAATCTGCTTTGGACGTCTTTCCTGTAGGTTCTAGGTTGGATTGTATGTGTTACGACAAAGCCACAAAGCAGAAATCTCTACTAACGCTAGCACAATTTTGACCTGTCTAACAGTTTTTTTGCACATAAATTTGATCATTAGGATGACAAGAGGCTGCATAAAAGTGGCAGCTTTAGGTGCTTGAGTGTAGGGATTTTCTGGTCAGTGCTCCTTCAACCGAATTTTATGCACTATTGTAGATTAGGCTGAGGGCCGCCCAAGTTGTCTCAATGCCCGGTCTGGCCCCTCAAAATCGGTTCAGGTAATGCAACTGTTAAGAGCTGCTACTTGCTTGCAAACACAGCCAAGGGGATCCTGGAACTTTCAATTCTGACTTTTCACCGTGCAGTTATAATGGACGGGGAACATTCACTGCAACCGGTTTTATGACCCAGTCAAGATTTCTCCACACCGCCACGTTGATTCCTGGGACCGGGAAAGTTTTGGTCGTTGGTGGAGTTGGGATCGACGGGGTTCTATCATCCGCAGAAATGTATGACCAAGCTACCGGTATGTGGAGCCCCGCCGGATCCTTGTCAACTGCAAGACACGCTCATACGGCAACATACCTGTCGTCCGGCGGCGGGGTCATACTGGTTGCCGGTGGCTACGGTGTTGCAGGCACAGTGCTGAACACTGCAGAGGTTTATAATGTAGCAACAGACACTTGGGGGGTAACCACGAATCGGATGGCGGAAGCGAGGGCATACCTTTCAGGCTGTTGCATTGGGAGACGCAAACACCGTGCTTGTGATGGGGGGGCAGCGCTTCGGAGTTTTGGACAGTGATCTAATTCTTGTCTCGTCAGCGGAGCTGTATTCGGCCACAACAAACAGTTGGTCTGCTGCCGGCAACATGGGCATGAGTAGGCAATTCCACACGGCAACGTTGCTACCTGGAAACCCCCCGCAAGTGCTTGTGGCCGGCGGACGTACTGGCAGCGGTACCAGCGGAGACGCATACACGGCTTCAGCGGAGCTGTATGACGTGAATGCAAATCGCTGGACCGCCACCGGCAGCATGAATACTGCGCGGGCATACCATAGTGCAAACAAGCTGGTTGTGGGTGGCGTGCTCGTTGCAGGTGGAACCGGCGATCAGGGTTTAAGTCTAGTGTCCACTGAGGTTTATATCCCGAGTTCCAGCACATGGGTCTCGGTGGGGCAGATGGCGGTTGGGAGGGGCCCGGATACCTATAATGGCGGGACCACCCTCCGCAGTGGACAGGTACTCATGGCCGTGGGCCGAGACACTGCAAACAATCCTCAGCCGGCAGAGCTTTACGACCCCGCAACTGGAGCATGGGACTACCACAGGTACCCAAATGACATCCTCAAGACGGTTTCTGACAAATACTCTATTGGACAATGGCAAAGTGCTTCTGGCAGGCGGCCTTGGCAGAGCCGGAGCCACCACCTCGGCAGAGCTGTACACGCCATGTAAGTGCGCTAAAGAAGAAAAAGGCGCCGTTGTCTGTTGCACACAATGTACGAGGACTGTGCCCCTTCTTCTGCAAGGTTAAGCGATTGAAACCCTTTTCCTGACATCTTTCAGGAAAGATGAGCACGTTTTAATCTCCTGTCGAATATCCATGCGCTTCTAATGCATATGTAGACCTTAAAATTATCGAGCAGGGCCAAATTGGCACGCTCAGTCTTTGGAGCCTTGAGTCGCAAATTTTACAAATCGCGTCCATGCATGAGCACAAGGTCGTCACTTAGAGAATGTTGTTTGAGAAGCCCACCTACCTCAAAGTCGGGTTAAGGACAATATAAGGTGCCACCCTGCGCATAAGCCACGGTCACTAATCTCTGAAGTAGGTTGAGCGCACGACAATGAAACAACGAGTCAACCAAGGTGCGCCTATCTTTCCCGTGCAAAGTTCCTCCTTCAGCAAAAAAAGCAGTCCAGCGTGGATTCATCAGGTCCCCGGCTAATTCTGGCTGCGGTTTCCATACCCGTTTTTGCGGCCTTAGCTTACTTCCTTTCGATCTTCTGAGAAATGCTAGAGCTTGGAATTGCGCCCTTCGATCATTCCGTTGAAAATCTTCTCTGCAGCTGAGATTATGGGCATTGAGGACCCCCATTTGGAGGTTACTTTGGCTGAGACGCAGGGTCGACCGCTGTCCTTCGACTTCCACGGGGAGGCCGGCAGGACGTACTGCATGATCTCAGACAGCTGTCTTCAGGTGAGGCGCTATTTCAAGCCTCCGTTATGGCTTACTCCCATGGATGTTCGTGGGATGTTCCGGAAGAAGGAGCTTGTAGAGACTCACAAAAGGGGCGTGAAAGCAGACAACTGTGCTCGGGTTCCCTTTCCAGGGGACCCAACAGCGAGAACGTCAGCTGCATGTGATGAATGTGATGGCCGTCCCTAGGATTCAAGAGAAGGGACAAGACTGATTGTATGCCGCCTGCTGAAAGTGTAAACAAAAGCCAAGTTAGCCGTCTACTCAAGGAGATAGAGTATCAATGGCGCAAGTAATGTTTTCGCCCTACGAGTGGCACTTTTCGGGCCTTGGCTCGGCCACAACCACTCTCCCTTCAAGCACCGCTTGACCAGCGACCAAGGTTCAAATCTTTGGACATACACATAAATAATATTGCGGTAGGCAGCCGTTGGGTGTACAACCGAACAACAGGCTGTCACGTGCTCTTGCAGCTGAACGTCCTCATGTTTGGCGTCCCCGCCGGCAGCCGGATTCTCAAGGATACCAGAGACAATTCTGTGGAACCCTTCTTCGACGGGACGTGGATGTCCGGGTTTGGTATTCTATATCTCGACCAGTCTGGAGAGCAGAAGAGCATCACCATTAGGCTGGACCCTGCGCGTGATCGCGCACGCAAATTTCCTTTCAACGCGACCTTCGGAGGGATCCTTTTATTAATAAGGTGTTGGTCGCTACTTCCGGAGGTCCCTGCGCTTTCGCTTGCCGCTATATACGTTTTATATCCAGATTCTTTGAATACTTTGGTCCAGCTCGTTTATTTCAGAACTGGTGCTTTCGATTCCTGGTGGGTGGCCTTTCATCAGGACCCAAGTTTCTCCAACGCGAAGCAGGTCCAAATGTTATCGGTCTTGAAATTATGGTGCGGTCTATGCTTTTGCTAGAGGCTAGAGTCTGTTTGCGGGTTCGCCAACTCGAACTCGACCCACAGACGTTGTCACGGGCAGGAGCGCCTCCGGCGAGGCAGGCGACGAAGCGGACCTCAGGCCAGGTCGGGGAAAAGCAGACGAACTTTGTCATCTTCAGAATATTTGACGTGCATCGAGGCCCTCGCGACCGTTGGCATTCTGCACAGGTCTGCTTGACGCCTCGAACGGGCGCCTTCTTTTCCTTCCTCTTTCTTCCGGCCCTCGCCTTTGAAAACGTACAGATTATGAAAGTGCTTTGATCAAAGGTGAAATTGGTTTGATCTCCAGCCCGTTCACCTGCAGGATTTGGAGTCTGCCCCCTCCGGTTGGATCAGGCCCGACGGCATGGCCACAATCAGCCGCCTGGCTGGACGACCGAACGCTCTCGCCGTTTCCATTTCGGACATCCTGCTTCTGGAGGTGGCGTCCGACTCAAGGAAGGACCTCATAGCAGATCCGCCGATTCATTACCTCAACTTCGAAGTCAAACGGCTGGCGACATGGACAGACGTGCACGGAGTGAGCGCACCTCGACCTCTCCTGTCGAAAGACAAACACGTTAACAAATGCACAACCAGGACTTGACCAGCTTCGCTAGCTAGAGAGAAGGGCACGCGATGAAGCCAGGGCGAAGTGGGCTCCTTCAATGGTGATCCTTCTTTGTCCTTCCGATATTCCGAGGGCTGCCAGTAGTCAAAACCTTCCGAGTGCTCGGAACAAACGTCGGCTACTTCAAATGAGCCAGTACGCGGAAGCGAACTGCAGATTTGACGCTATTTCAAAACGGCCCGCCTGCTGTCACCCGGGGTAAACGTGGACGTGTTTCAATCTTGTAGAGCATGATGCCTTCGGGTTTATTACACTGTGATGTTGTGATTTTTCTGTGTATGACCCCAGAACGGCATTCAAAACCTTGCATGTGGACTTCGAAAAAGTTCACATGACAGTTGCAGGCCGTTGACCAATCCGTGCCGCTCCGCTCGTGTGCAGTTCCTGGGGCAGATGTTCGCCCCGGGCGCAGCTACCGAGCGCCTGGCCATGGGCACTCTCGAGGGCCTCCTCCACCGGGAGTACTTGGAGAGCACGGATGACGATTACCTCACGTCAGACTTGAGCACAGCAGACTGCGCCTTCAACCGGTTTGGCGAGGTAAGCCTGAGCCTGGCCGGCCCCAAGCGTGAGCTCTTTCAAGTTGGTCACGTGATTTCGAGCCATCTTCTTTTCTAGCTTCAAGTTGCCGCCTCATGTGCGCAAGGTCGTGGTGACTGAGAGAAGAACGTGGAGTACGGCGCTTTTTCGAGCTGACGGCTGATTCAGTATGTGCGGAAGAGTCCTTGTCTGGTCAAGACCCGCTCGTGCTCTTGAGATGCTCTTGAAGCGTCTGAGCTTCAGATTTCTTACTCTAACTAGAGCCTTTGCGGTGGCCTACAAAGTCAGGCGTGGTTGTCGCATGTAGGAAAGTGCCCACAGTACTTGCGCAGGGTTAAAGCACGATCTCGGAGAAAGCATTTCAGGGCTTGTTTATTCCCTCACCCATTTCTAAAATCGGCCGGAGGAGATCATAGTATCGGCTTGGATAGTACGATTGGAAGATCAGAACTTCTGATCTTCGGAAGCATGAGCATGAGCACATGGCGGTTTGTGTTGCAGGTATCCGACGGCATGATGATCGTCGAGCAGAGCGCTACGAGCATCTTGAAAGGAGACTCGTAATCTGACTCCCCTGCCGATGATATGTAATAAGGGTGTACCGCAAGTCTGCATATGGTTTGAAGGCTTTCACTGCATGCATTGCGCGGTGCCGATGACTGCAGTGCAGACACCCAAAGAGCTGCTTCAGCCCAAAGCCGCCGACCTTCAGGCTGCAGAAAAGTTGATTTACGCATCAAATCTCGCAGTTTTTTCAATGTTGTGGTTGAGCCAGCGGTAGACTCCAGGAGAATTGGTAAGTTTAGCACACACAGGCTGTACGACATTCGCCCCATCGTCGCCTAAACGGTAGCGGATCGACTACCACTCTATTCCATGGGAGAACGTCAGGGAAAAGCCTTCCACAATAGGAGATTATAGCTCATTGCGTAGACCTTAGTCGATTAGCAAATTGAAGCAAACGCATACGGTTGCCGGCCGATGTCACGGTGGCATGGGTGCCTAAGTTTCCCCTATTTTAAGATGGGATCGAGCAAGTGCAATGGACGTACTCACGTACATTCAGCATGACATATGCATCTAGGCTCGCCACTCGCCGCTGATCACAAACCCGGCGCCACGTTATACTGCATATGCAGGAGATCGATCGCGACCGTCTAGTAACCGATCATGCGCATTGATCGAAATGTTATATTAAGCTAGAGAAGAACACCAATGATGGCGCTCAATCGCTTCAATATGGAATTGGAAATGGTACAAAACTTGGATCATTGGTCTTGGCATCGACCTTCCTGGTACGTACCAATACCATCAACCGTTGCAAGTCATTGAAGCTCGATCGTGGCTGAACTTGAAGTATAATCAATTGCATGAAACCGAACTCGGATCGACGTATAGCACATTCAGGCTTGAGACGCTCATTTGACAAATTGAACTCTCGCTAAGCTTTCGTACCGATTATTCAGATTGTTTCGCCATTCTAAAGACTGCAAAAAGCCAGCCGTAAACATGTCAGCTTCCCTACTTCCAGCTAACAAGCAATACGGTTGGTAATGTGACGTCATCACCAATTAGCCCCTGGCCTGCCCAGCGTGGTCGGCTCCTAACGCTCAAGTAGCATGACCATTTCGCAATGTGGCGTGTGGGGGAACAGATCAACAGCCATCGCTTTCACTGGTCGAAATGGCGGGGGCGCCCTGGCCCCCCCCTTTCCACGCCCCTGGTTTGCCCCCCCACTCGCAACGCATAGCTCGAGCACGTTGGTCAATAAGCTCTCCGGATTGCAGGATACGTATACGAGCCGCCGGAGGCGCTCGTGGGCCGCCAGCGCTTTGAGCACCTGAGGGAACAGATGCAAATCCTGGTGACGTCGTAATGTTTCATACGATGCCGATCATGCCCGCTGAACCGTCGCGGTTTTGAGTGCTGCTGTTCTCGGATGGAAGGGGTAAGGCAATGGTCTGAGCAGGTTGAGCTCTTTGAGAGGTGGCTACGTCTTTTCTGGTACTAAGAAGCATGCGTGGAAGATCGATGCATGCTGGTTTGTTGCTGTTGGCTGCTGGACCGATCGTTGTACGCAATTTAGACTCAACGGATAGCCCTTTTTTCCGCTTCGCACCCTTCATTCACACCAACCTATGCGCCTTCGGAAAAGGAGCGCACAACAGACATCAGACAGCTGTCATCCAGCCCCGACACCACAAGTTTTGGCTGCGGCTGTAAGAAGGACGCTCAAGGGAATCCAGAAAATAGGCAGCATTGTACTCACGTTCGGATGCAGCCCACAGCGGGGCGGGTCCACGATTGCGACGACGTCCGAGAATAGCGCCTCCTCTCCGTCTTCCCCGCGCAAAGCCGACCCGGTCCCGCCACTGACGTCCTCGCCAGAGGCCCCCACCGCAGCGCCGCTTGCCCCGCTGACGTCATCTCCGCGTTTTCGTCTTTCCGAAACCCCTTCAAGCGAGGCGGCTGGTGCTTCCGGGCCCGAAGCCACGCTCGGCGTTGCTCGTTCCTTCGCGGCCGACGTGTCCGTCCCAGGAGTCCCGTTGGCCGCCACGTCATCACTTCTTGGCCCCTTCGCTGCCAAGTCAGCGTTTATTAATTCCCCGATCTCCTCATCCGCAGCCCCAATTGCCGAACCCCGCGCTTCCTCTGCTGGCGCCACCTCAGTAGTAGCCGCTTGGCGGCCACCATTAGCCGCCACGTCAGCACCCACTTCTCCTCCGTCTGTGACGTCATCCCGGGCTGCCGCATCAGCCGCCGCGTCAGCAGGCGCCACCTGGGACGCGTATCGCGCCAGCAGCTTCCCGAGGACCGCCTCCGCTTTCCCGCACACAAACTCGCAGTTCCGGATTCCGTTCAGCTCCGCGTTTTTCCGTGCGTCCTCGACGGCCGGAGCAATCATCTCGATCCCGACGACTTTGCCCACGGTCCCCGCAAGAGTGAGTCCGATCGTTCCGGTTCCGCAGCAAACGTCGAAGAGGAGGGTTCGCCGGTTGAGGCCCGCCCAGTCGCCGGCGAGGCGGTAGAGCTTCTCAGCCGCAGCGGTGTTTACCTTGAACAATGAGAGTAAAAGCTCTTAAGAAGTATGCACGACACTCCTAAACTACTAAAAAAACGAATACCTGCGGCGCAGAGACATGCCGGCAAGGCAGCACAGCTTTCTCAGGGAAACGACTGGGAATCGACATCTGAGAGTCGGCGTTTTTGCTGTCTGGAGCTTTGAGGAGCTTCAAAATGTATGACTTCAGTTCAGAGTTGAGGCACGCCGAACGCTGCCCTGCTGGTAAAGCTGCCCATTTGCGGCGCGACTATTCGACTATGAACCAACGTGGCTTTCAACACTTTGATTTGGAATATCGCAAAGGCCTAAGCTTTAAGTCCTTTGACGACTTCAGGAGACATTTCAGTATGGCGGATGAAAACAGGATAGAGTAAACTGGCTAGCTTAACACACAACGTTGAAAACGAGAGTCTCTGAGAGAAAGTCGAGAAATAGCAGACGCTCTCAAGAAGTACAATCAAAATGTCGCCATATCGGCAAAACACGCAACATCCCACTGCCTACAAGACCGAAAAAGTGGAAGCCGGGTTTGAAATTACCCCCCCGGATTTACAGGCAGTATCTGGTTTGAGTCCTAGGGCCGACAATCTGGTTAGTGCCCCTCGAACGAAGCTGCTTCAGAAACACCTCCAAAGTTCTGAAAAGCAGATTGCTATGAGGAGCACGAGACAATGCCCACCTGAAAGAAGGCCGATAGCGAGAGCCGGAACTTGAGCCCGCACATGTGCTCGAAAATGTGCGCGGCGTCACTCGAGGTCGAAGCTTCCGTTCCATTTGAGACCCCACCGGATTCCGTACGGTTGTTCACGAGAATGATCTGGGGAGCGTCTGGTGGGGCAGCGTTGGAGACGCCTTCGTGCACCTGGAAAGTGACGTGGATTGGCACGTGGGTCTTGCGAATTCAATTGACTGACGTCATTCGCCTTTTCTGCTCGATAGAAACACAATGGAATGCGTCTGGAACATCAATCCGGCTAATTTTCTCGCCCTTCGTTGAAAGATAACACAGGAGACATTGAGTTATAGTAGGGAGCAAGCAGCGCAGAGTACTTGCTTTTCATTGATATGCAAGATGCAGATCAACTCTGCCCCATCCTAGTTGGCAGGACCACCACAATCTGGTCCTTCTCTGGCTTCACTTTCTGAGCCGCCCTAACCGGTCTACCAACATCTAAGGTTCTCTAGTATGTTCATGATGAATCCAAGCCAAGTCTTGGGACCAACCCAACACCGAACAAAAACCGGAACCCAAACATTTACCTGCTCCGAACCCCTCCCCACGCTAAAACCCCTGACTAACCCCACCCGACCCTGTCTAATTTGAGATTATTATACCTAACCTATCGATTCATATGTCACTTGTGAATTCGACACCCCATCTGACAGACCGGATGGAGACAGAACATGAACTCCCGAGCCGACATTAGAGACCCCTCCTCACTATAACCCTCTTCAGATCGACGCTCTGACTTGAGCAAAACCCCAAACCTGACCGTCGATCACAGGGTTTTAGATGCAGGGGGTAACCAGGGAGTTCACCGGCAAAGGCAGTTCTCCTTCCATCCGTTCTGACACCAGTCCGATGACGTTTGCTGGGACGATGCCTGGCCGCTGAAAGCCGGAGTCCCCAAATGGTAAAGAAAGAAAAGAAGAACTGAGCCTACCTGAACTACCAGATACGTTAACGGCAGACTTTGCGCAGCTGCTCCGGAGAAAATCGCTTCCGTCAGCCGCCCGTACTCTGACTGCAGCGCGTCGGCGCTGGGGGCGTCCCTCGAGCTCACTTGAATCATCACCAGTACCTGCTGTAAGAAGCAGAAAACAAATTTCTTTGACAATTGCACTGCTTGTCTACATGCTCATAAGTGTGAAACTTCTCACCGGAACCATCAGCAGTAACCGCAGTAAGGAAACAAGCAAAAGAGTCTTGAAACGATTGCGCTGCTTGTCAAGTGTGGAACTTCGCACTTGAACTGTTACCAATTCCAGCAGTAAGACGAAGAGGAGAGTCTTCGGTGATTGCACTGCTTGTCTGCATGTGCAGAAATGCATGTGGGAGAAACCTCCTTCTGTATCAAGCCGTAGCTGCCTACACTCTCCGTCCAAAGACTCGCCCGTCGTTTATATGAGACACTGCTGCCTCGAAAGGTACGGAATTTTTTTGGACTCTGTAAGCTGTTCTTAGCATATGATCCGCACGGCATACAAAGGCAGACGAGTCAGATCGACAAGTTGCGACTTTCCCAAGCGATAAGGAGGTTGCAGAGATGGTGCGAAATAGTGGAAGGCTGCACTCGAGAAGGGGGAAACATATTCGTATCGGGCCACGCAAAGCCGCACGTCTCTCAAATGTGCTCGTAATGTTGAAAAGAATTGACAAGGGATTACGCTTTCATCTCTGCGATCCAGCGGGGAATGTAGGAATGCTTCTGGGCAGAGACTGAGCTCGTTCACTGGATGGAACCTGCATATGAACTTGCAACGGTCTCTGCGACCTCTAAAGCCCGAATTCTGTTTCGTCAAATTTTGACACGAGAAGGGCTTGATGTCAAGAACCCGGGGCTCCGAAGTCGTCAATCCTGGCAGATTATGAGACGAGAATCATTCGGGACACTGTCGCATTTCCAGTCAGAGATTCAGCTGCAGATCATGATACTTATGAAAGGGCTGTAATGGCATGCTGAAAATAGGGTTCAGGTTACATTGGAAATGTTCGGAAATGTTCCAGGTGCTAAGAGCGAAGGAAACTCGTTCCCTAATTTCCCACCTCGCCAATCTTGGTGCTCCCGTCTTCTGGCCCGCCCTCGGCGGCGGCCCGCCCTTCCCGTATCGTAACCATTCGCCAAACGCCCTTATTCTCCTTCTTGTCCCACACGCTGAGCTCGGACGTCCGAATGAAGTCCTGCAGAAGCGCAATCGTACGTTCAGAAGCAATCATCATACGCCCGTCTCATTCTTCTCTATGAATCAGCTCGGACGTTCGAGTTGAGTTTGGCAAAAGAACCGGTCTCGCAGAGCGTGAACACTTAGAGAGACAGACAACCATCAACGAGCTCCAAATTAACGAGTCGACCGGACTGAAAGAGCATAACACCCGTGGCAGACCCGGATGGGAACAACAAGGGAACGGCTCGAAAACCTGAAAGCGAACGTCTTTTTCGACCGGTTGTCACAAGAAGCAGTTCTAGCGGAAGTCAGCCGCAAGGCCGCGGTCTTGCAAGGCAACCCATCTATCTCAGGCAGGCTTCGTTAGTAACGCAGGTACCACATTTGTTTTCGACAAAGTGTCATCTCGATCAGACCAAAGAACGAGTACATCGTCGTTTCCAGAAACCTCGCAGTTTGCCGATGCGGCATCTTGTCCCTGCACTTCACGGGCCCGTTTCTTGTATCTGCCGGGATCCGGGATATCTGCAGATACAAGAAACCGCCTCTAAAGGATCTGGAGAGTCAAAAACAGCCATGGCAAGCTCACCTGGATGATTTCGACATAGGCTTTCGAGACCGGCGACACGTTCAGGCACTCCCGGGGCGATGCGATGGCAGTGTAACCCTCTCGGAACAACCCCAGCTGAAAGCCAACCTGCACGATCGAAAGTAAACACGCTTCTCAGACGTTGACTTGGCCGGGAAGCCAAGTGCCCAAGCTGAGACAACTTATCCTGCCGGCCAGGATCTCACAGTATCTTCAAGATCCTGCCCCTAGAGGATCATCTGGTAAGCAATACAGATAACGGATCGCTTCACTAGAGAGGTGGCGCCCGTGCAAAGAGTCCTTGCAATCAGCACAACAAGCTCCACAACGGATGGAGCACCTTCGGAAGTCCATCGAGTCGACCCAAAACAGTGCTAAGCACACAAGCACGGGCTGCTTCGAGACCAACTACTTTTGGAGAACGTCGAAAGCAGTACCAAAATTGTTGTGTGAGGTGTCCGAAATTTTTTGCAGCGAAGAAACTGCTCAGAGGCCATCCAGCATCTCGAGTTGGAGCGATCTCCGCTCAAAGATGGTAATGGTCGAAAGCTACCATCAGACCGCCCTTTTTTACTAGGTATTCCGGATTATCGACCACTTTGCCTATCGCAAAATCAGAAGGTTGTTCCTTGCACCAACGCTATCCCCAGGAACACAAAACTTGTATCTCGAAGCTCGAACCTCAGGCACAAACCCAGCTCGTCATTCGCAAACCCAAAATCTCGAAACCCATCAACGCCCGCCTATTGCGAAACCCCTCACCGTTCTCTGGCCGTCCATGCCAAGCCCAATCGTGAACTCGCACTTGTTCCGGTACCCCTCCGTAACCGGAGACGCGACAATCCCCAGCAGGGGGCACGCCATGCCCGTGTGCTTCTTGGAGTGACGCAACCACGCGGGGGAGGGGACGCCCTGGGGCCAGGCTTTGCGAGCTTTTCGGACCTGCGGTAAGAGCCCAAGGCTACACTTTCAGGGAGCCGTCATTTTGCAGTTTCGTTTCTGAAGACAGAAAGCTTGGGGCTTCGCAGATGCAGGCCAAACTCTGTTCTTCCGGGGTTCCGCAATAACATCAGTCGTCGTTTTGTGATTACGGTGGAAGCAGAGAAAACGCCCTGGGGCACGCTCTACAAGATTTTCGGAGCTACAGATGCAGGCCAAGATGTATTTTATGGGGTTCCAGATTTAAGGGTTTCGTCGCTTCAGGGGTTTATTGTCTTCGGAAGAAGGAACGCCCTGGGGCCACGCGAGACGCAGACTGAATAGCTTCGTAGATAATGTTTCGGGCTGAGTCCGAGAGGTAGTTCACATGTCGACCGCGTGTGGGGAAGCTCAATCGGAACCGTCCAGGTAAAAAGGAACGCTTCACTTCATCAGGAGATACCAAGAAAGTTGGACCTCATCTGATTCACTGAAGCGGAAGTGTGGCTAAACAAGAGGTGCGAGGCTGCTTCGATCAGCACAAAAACTTGAAAAATGAAATCAAGTGGGTTGGGTAGAAAAGAGGCAAGAAGTATAAGGCCCCCGCTCGGAGCACCAATACGGAAGCCCCGAGGCTCCCCTAGGGCTACACACTGCAACGGGGACAAGACCTGGTGGTCTAATCTACAGCCCGCCCTAAGGTTTGTCTCTAAACCTCTCTAACCGTAACCATCTGCAGTCAACCAGGCAGAGCTAGGTTGCTTCTCTCCACAACCTGAAAATGAGAGCGTAGGACACGCATGTCCACTGCGGGCGATAGGTTCTGAGTGTCCAAATTAGCAGAACTGTAAATCTGGTGTGTTCAGAAAAGACTCAGAAACATTGTTGTGTGCACTTTTGGAACTTCAGAACCCGGCTTGATTGATTCGTAAATGAGCGTTTTGGAAGCATCCTCAAAGTATAGAAACAATGTGCACTCCTCCTTACCAGGCGTTTCAGCAGCTGTCCGATCGTCGCCTCCTTCTGCTCTAGCTGCTTCGCATATTCCGTCCGCCACCAGGGGGTCACCGCGTCCCGGATATCCTTCCTGATGTCATCATCATAACCTGCCCCCCCGATCCCCCCTCCTCCAACTCTCACGCCGGCCCCTCCTCCGCCTTCCCCCTTCCTCGCTACCCTCTCTCCGACCGTTTCCTACTATCCGTCCGATTATTCTGATTTCCCTCCTGTCCAGGGGGTCTTTTTGCCCCTCGAACCAGCCCCCCCGGCTGCGCCATCGCGCGCAACTCCCAGGCTCTCGGCCGCGCTTCGCTGATCTTCAAGTGACTGCCCCTGAGCGTTTGTTTCAACAGAACCGCTGCTGCGGCGTCGGACTGTGCAACAGTTTCAAAGGTCAGGAATCCGAGAATCGCGCCCTTCTGCTTCTTGAGGGACTGGTACTTGACACCGAGCGCGTCGACAAACGCCTTGAAGTCGGGAGTCAGCCAGTGCTTGGGAACATTGATCACGCACTTGTTGAGCAGGCCGTACTGGGCAGCTGAGAGATGTGAGAGAATAGACTTTGAAAAGAGCCCTCAAAGAGCTCATGGAAAATGAAAGGAATTTGGAAGAGGCGGCCCGTTTTAGATAGATGGGGGCTCGGAAAAGCTTCTGCCAAGCGAAGGCTTGGACATTTTGTGAAAATTTTGATATGAAAACTAGGGATGGAATCGTGATGTTGCTGTATGATCATGGGGAGGGACCGCACGGCGGTGGTGAAGCATATGCATATGAAGCTGCTCGCCTATGAAGATTATGTTTTCAGGGCAACAACTGAACTAGCTCAGAAGACACCTGAAGCTGCAATTCAATACCGGACGTCCTTTCCATGTGTGTGCTCATACGGACGCTTGGCGCATTCTCTGCCGCTCTGGAAACATGTGAAGACAAAAGACAGGGCAAATCTGGACAATGTACCAGCGCTTTTAGTTTGCAATAAGGAGAGGTGAGGACGGGAACCATTCGTGTGGTGGACAAACGACACCAGACGAGAATTGCGTCAGACCGCACTTTTCTGAGGGTCTTTTTGTCTCATTAGAAACCTTCCGATGAGCAGAAAGTCCTAAAGTATAGCAATGTTGGGGTGGCTGATCAAAAGTCCTGGTACGCAAGCGGGAATTGCAGAAATAAACGGGTGGCATTGGCAATCAAAGTTGCGGCTCTTACCCAATTCCGCAGCGCTCATTGAGGACCTGTCACTGCCCTTCGAATTGACTGGCCCAAGGGTGTGCTTCGAATCAGGGCGCACAGACTCTCCCGCTGAGTGAGAAAACTTGCAAGTGTTGCCGAAGCTGAAAAGCGAGAAAAAGAAGAGGTGATCAGCATTCTGGGATGCTGAAGACATTGTCGCAGTGCTGCCAGTTCCTCGACAAAGGTTCGAGACTTGAAAAGCTGCGGTGGTGCCAGAAAATACCTTCTGGCGAGCAACCGTTGAGCCTACTGCTATGGGCGAACATGGACCCTAGCTGGACATGCACAAGGAACGTAAAGCAGGGGCAAAAGGCTGAAGCTGGTAGATGGGGAATGGCCGGGTGTTATTGAGTTTAGCCATCTGTTTTAGCGTCCTGGTTCAGAAGGACCCACTTTTTGGTCCTGGTAATCCCATTCGTCAACTGGCATCTCAGCGATCAGGGACCAAGTGCTGTCAAGCAAATGCATGCAGCTAAGAGTGGGAACAGATGTCCTTCCTCACAGGGTCCGAGTCCAATCGATAATACAGCGCCTGATTACCTCCACAAAGCATCAGCTATTTCCAACGAAACCAAGTCATGTCAGGAGACGCAGGCGAAACCCAAACCTTATTACGCTGCCGTGCTGTTCTATCCTCAATCACATCTCAGAATCAGTTCTTTCGTCACCAGAAGTCGGCAACATAAGTAAGTGCAGGCTTGAGTTCCAAACATGGACGAATACTTGTTTCCAGACCAACCGCACCAAAAGCTTACCGGCATTGGTTCTTTAAAAAGTGCGCACACAGGGCCCCATCGCGCTGCATTTGAGTCTCCTTGCTCGCCGTCTTATTGTCCAAGTCCATCCCCTTAGCAGCAAGATCCGGCACCGCCTGTCCTGCCAATCCCAGCCCCTCTCTAGTTCCGTCAGGCACGCCCTTGGAAGTTTGCCCTTCTGGTGCACACATCGAAGGCGCCGCATCAGCTGCGCAAGCTGCACCGTTTGTATCATGACTTCCTCCGGTGGAATGCACCCTCTCGGCTGCCTCTTTAAAAACTTTTCGCACCACCCCTCCATCATCAATTTCGCCCGGTGTCTCTCCTCTAGACTCGCCAGTAGAAGGCTCGAGCAGAGCTAGAGATTCCTTCTCTGCCTTGTTTTCCAAAGGTGGTGCAAATTGAGTGGTGTCCTTTCCTGCTTCCCTGAAATCGTGGAAAGCACTTTCTTGAAAGCCTTGCAAGGGCTCCGATGGCAATGGTGGTACTGCTTGTCTGCCGATGACATCTGACATTGTCGAATGCTTGTCCGCGGGATCAATCAGCTTGGCCACTTTTGGCGGCCTTCTGTCCCTATCGTCATTGGAGAGAGAATACGCAGCGGTGGCTTTGCGCTTCAGATCAGAAGGCTGTGGGCTCATGTTTCCATCATCCATTTTGAGAGAGCAGGATGAGCTTGTAGCAAATGGAGACTGTGCTGGTCGCTCAGCAAACCCATGCCCGTGCTTTGGCATCAAGGCTTAAATGCGAAGTTTCGGCTGGCGCTCGTGCAGAAGTTACGGCAACTCGATCAATGGCAAGGGGCTTGTCCAGATGCCTTCTCTCACCTCACCCTCGCCTTTCATCCGCGAAAGACCCTAAGGGTCTATACACACAGAGAGGGTGAACTTTAGGTGAATTCGCCGAGAACCGAAGGTGTTGTTTTGCGGAAGTTTACTTTGTCACTCCGGGGGGTAACTGCCGCACGTAAAAGTAGTCCCGCGCGACGGTCCAAAAAAGTTCACCACCGTCACCAGGCTTTTTTTGGGGTAGCACTCAGGGGGACCAAACCCCACTCAGAGAGCCGGAACCATGTTCCGCGCCGTCCGATGAAAAACTGCCTCAATCGGACAGTCTAGATTGCATTATGGAGTGTCCCGAGCACTGAAGGGACCCCGGTCGGGCTGCGGATTGGGTCTAGTGGTTAGTTATCAAGTAGTTTGAGCAATTATGCCTGGTTAACATTCCTTAATCGGCACAGTATAGCTCCTAAACCCCTTCTTGCCCCAACCCAAAATTCGAGGGTTACATACAAGACCCTTCGGAGGTTTAATTCCACCAGTTCTTGGGTTGGGGCAATTAGAGGTTTGGCTGCTGGCACATGGTTCAGGATGCAAACCTATTTACCTGGGGTGTTTGGTCCCCCTGGTAGCACTTTGGAACACCGCGGTGAAAAAGCTGACGTCAGGCCGTACTTGCCGGCGAATTGAAAAGGTCACCTGAGTTCACCCGCGGTGTTTTCTTGGCGACGGGAGCACCGCAACCCCTGCTGTACCGTCGCTCAAAACCAAGTTCACCCGCTCTGTGTGTAAAGACCCTTAGACAGGCCTGCTGCCTGCATGCAAACAGATATGCAAAGCGCTGGTACGGTAAAAACTTCGAAGTTCGAACATATACCGTAA